GCTGCAGGCTCAGGACAGCGCACCCTGCGGGAGGCAGCAGGAAGAGAGGTGCTTGCAGGATACACCCCAGCTCCAGCCACCGGGTCCCCTGGGTGCAAGATGAGCACATCCTGCCTTGGGGCCCAACCCCCCAGAACCCCCCACCCCCAGAGGGGCAAGGCCGGCCCACCCTCCCTTCCCACCACTCCCTGGAGGGCCAGAGTCCCAGGCCCGGCCCTGGCTGGGGGCCAAGAGCAGCTCTGGGTGGCATCTGGCCCCAGGGCAAGGGGTCGGACTCCCACCCTCAGACACAGTGGCAGCATTGAAGGGCAGCTGGCAGCCGGACCTCCTCCGCATTCATCAGTTATCCCGGTTTAGAAACAGCCGCCCTGGAGCCAGGACCCGCCCGGCCCTGCCCTGCCCCTGCCCCAGGCCCCAGGGGCAGCCCGGCCTGCCCCTCCCGGCTCTGCTTCCTGGTGTGGCCCCGGGCCCTCCAGCCTGCCTCTGCTGCTACTCCCCAGAGACCCCCACCGGCCTCCTGCCAAGGTGAGGGAAACTGAGGCTCCTTCAAAGGACCGGACCTAACGAGACCCTAGAGTGGGCCTGGGCGCATGGCCCCCAGCAGGTAGCTAGGAGAAAGACCAGCCCCAGGCAGCCCCACTCAGTCTGGGGTGAGGGAGGGCTGAGGACCCTCCCCCTGGTCCCCACCCAGCTCGCAGGGCTGGTCTGACTTCCTGCTCCTCTCTGCTCCCTGCTCCTGCCTCTGCTGTCTGGAAACTTTCCGGGACCCACCTGCATCTCCCCAAACCTTCCCCAGCCCACAGGCCCACCTCCTCCAGGAAGCCCTCGGGACCACTGCCCAGACCCAGGGGCAGCACCTCGGTGCAGAGCTGCCTGAGAGACCCACCCAACCTGCCCATTTCTCAGGTGAGGAAACCGAGGCCCACAGTGGAACCAGTGCCAAAGCTGCTTGAAACCAAGAAAGTTCCTAGAGGTGAGCCAGGCCTCGGTTCTCAGAGTCCGCCCTCGTGTCCTGTGAGTTTGGCCGAGACTGGGTCAAGAGAGATGACAGTGGTCTTCTGTCTCGATTTGTAGCAAGAAAGACAACGCTAGTAACAGGGCGTGTTCTTACGTGTGAGATTTTCTTGCCCACCTTTTCCCTAGAGACGGTGCTGGCAGTCGCGCTAGCCCAGGTCACCAGCGGGTTTGGGGCAGGGGCCGGGGGCATCGGCCACACCCCAGGACCATCGCACACAGCTGGGACTAGAATGCCGAGCTGGGACCAGGCCGTAACTTCAGTTGGGAAAACCACTCCCAGTGGGTCGGATGGAATCGGTGCTCTGACGGGACCTGGGAGCCCCGTGAGGGATGGGGGGGTCCCCGGAGTCACTCCCTCCCTCCTTTGCCGACTGCAGCACCAGCCCACAGGGCAAGGAGGCTGGAGGTCCTGGGGGTCTTCCCTACTGCAGGCCACCTGAGGGAGAGGCCACACGGGAGCACAGGGGTGCCACGAGTGTAGTTGCCGCAAGAACCAGGGGCAGAGCCTGCCCCAGCCACCCCGAACTCGCTGCCCTCACTGTGGTTGTCCCCGACAGCGGCCTCCACGTCCCGACACTCCTTCCAGGCGGGCTCTGGGCCTCACCTACACGGACCCAGGCAACCTGTGCCCACCTCATCCCCCAGCAGAGAGGGGACCGGGCCTGAGTGGGGAGGAGGTTACCCTGGTCACACAGGCACAGGCCTGGGGGGTCACCAAGGCCAGCTCTGTGCAAACGGCTCGAGGGCCTGCGCAGGGCTGGATGGGGGCTCCGCTGCAGGCTGCTCCCAGGGCCGGGCCCTCGGTGACTTGTGCCTCTGCAGAAAGGCTCCAGGCAGCCGTGGAACAGCTGGAACAGCGTGGCTAAGCCACCCTCCTTCCACAGGCCCAAGCCCTGACTCCCCATCTGGGTGGGAGAGGGGGGAGGGGCTCCCCAGGGGGGCTCCCCTCCCCCACTGCCCGCACAGTCCTCACCTGCCAGTCCCTGCCTCCCCCCCGCCACGCTTTTGTTCAAATGAACAAATTTGGGGGAATCAGAAAATATGGCTTTTATTTTCAAAACTGGAATCAATTACAATTGGGGAGTTAAATATTCCCAACTGTGTTTGAGCTCAGGTCTGCCGGTGTCCAAACCCAGCATGGAGGAGGGACAGGAAGGTGACTGTTAAGAGGTCTGGGTAGGGGCAACAAGGCCAGGGACTGCTCTGCAGGTGGCAGGGCCCTTACACCTGGCCCTGCATAGCCAGCCGTGCTCACTCAGCCCTGCACGGCCAGCCCTGCACACTCAGCCCTGCACGGCCAGCCCTGCACGGCAGCTTTGTGTTTGACACTCAGGCTCTTTTGCTATTCGGTCACCCTGCCATCAGCCCGCACGGTCAGTGTTTTTTTGGGTTCGGTAGTCGCCGCTGCACGGGCCAGTCGGCTGCCACGGCAGCCCTGCCGACACTCCAACCTGCACGGCCGAGCCTGCACGTGCCAGCCCTGTACACTTAGTCCGTTTTGTTACAGTCTCCTTATGTTTCTTACTTTTATCTCGGCCCTGGCTGTTTTTTATTCACTCAGCCCGCACAGCAGCCAATGCTCCGCGCTCATGTCTCTCCCTGCTTTGTTTTCAGTTTCCCTGCACAGCAGGCGCCTAACACACTCGGACCCGTGCCTATGCAGCCCTGCACACTCAGCCCTGCACAGCCAGCCCTTCCTCCAGGAGAGAGGGCCCAGGCAGGAAGCCAGGTGGCCACCCTCCAACTTGTCCGCTGCCCCCTGAAGGCCACATCTGCCACCGACCAGCCACTCTCCCAGGAAGCCCACCACCTCTCAGGCAGCAAGGTGGCCCCAGGGGAGGATGCTCCTGCTCTGCCTGGAGACCTGGCCCCTCTCTCCCCCAAAGCAGGCTCCACCCTGACTGAGGCTCGGCTCTGCACCTGGAGGCAGTGTAGCCAGGAGGTTCCAAGTGCTCCTTCAGACAGACCTGGCTTCAGCCCAGCTCTGCCACTCAGGCACCAAGCGGCCAGCAGCTGCCAGCCTCCCCAGCCTTGGTTTCCTCTCTCACAGGCAGCCGAAGCGCGATTCAATGAGGCACCACAGGCGGACAGTGGCTCGGAGCCAGGAAGGAGCTCCGGGCCTCCAGGCCTCTCCCAGCCCCGGGGCTGTTCCCGCCACAGCTGTGGGCCGGGGCTGCCGCTCAGGCACCTCGAGAGTTGACGCCGCAGTCAGGGCCCCGGAGGCTGGCGGGGCACAGGGCACATGAGGGCACCCAACTCCGGAGCACCAGGTAGGGCCCATTCACTAGGTGCAGCCTGGGCCTGGACAAGACAGACCCTCCCCCAGATGCCTGCCCCCCACAGCCATGCCCACCCCCACAGCCATGCCCATCCCTACAGTCCCCCAATGCCATGCCCAGCCCAGAAAGGCAGTGCTTTCCACCCCCCTTGCTCTGCTGGATGCTGAGCCCCAGGTAAACATCAAGTTCCCCCACCAGGTGTCCAGGCCCCCCAGGAGCCCCCACAGGCTTCGTCCCCTCTGGCACCAGGAGGCCAGGTGTGAGGCTTTCAGGGCGGGCGACTGCTCAGCACAGACAGGGGCTCAGAGCAGAGCACCTCAACACAGAAGGAGCAGGGGGCACGGTGGGCAGAGACAGGACAGAGGAAGGGGTGGGTGGGTGGGCAACTGGCCCTGAGCGGGGAGGTCAGGTGTCCTTGGCCCTTCCTGGAGGACATGACCAGGACAGGCCACAACCCAGGGTCACCACCTCATCACCCTCCCCTAGGAGCAGAGACCACGGTGTGGTCTGCTTTATCAAGCATCCAGCCACAGCCCTGCTCTGGAAACTTCCCCAGAGACGGAGAGCGCCAGGAGGTCCCTTCCCCGTGCAGCCCAGACAGCCCAGGCTTTTCCAAGGAGCCCAAGCCAAGCAGCGCACATTTTGAGAAAGATCAGGCAACTGAGCCAGAAGGGCCCTGGAGCACCGCTCCAGCCCCACCTGTTCCACGGCGCAAGTTCCCAAGAAGAGGCGAAGGTGGCTAGAGCCCCGCCACCCTTTGGGGACCCCGGACTACCTTCGGGCCAGCCAGCCCACAGGGCCACAAGGAGGCCTGGTGAGGCCTAGAGGCTGGATGTCACTGGGCAGTGACAGGCCAGAGGACCTGGAGGGGCCACACCCCACAGCCCGGGCAGCAGCTCTCCCAGGCCAGGAAGCAGCAAGCCTGGGGCTGCCCCGGGGGGACCCTCCCGCTGACAGAGGGCAGCCGGACCCTCGCGTGACCACAGACCACAGGGAAGCTCCTGTTCCCTGGGAGTCCCCAGATTCCCTCCTGTCCCCTGCCTGAGTGTCACCGGAGCACGTGTCCTGCCTGCCGAGACCCACTGGGGAGAGACCGCAGAGCGAGAGAAGTCAGTAGCTCCTCCTGGCCGGCCTCTGTGGAGTTCTGACCTCTTCCCACACGTCTGACACGCTTTTCTTGCACAAATTCTATCACCAAACGCTTACTTTTTTAACCCGTCCCATATCTGTCCCCATGAACATTTGACCCCATGACGACGGCTCTTGCTGCTGCCTGATCCTCAGTTTACCACGTGCCGAGGTTTATGCAACAAATCGCCCAGGCCGGGACCCCAGGCCCCCATCTTCCCACAGCAGGGACGAGCGCTCTGGCACGGTGGCAGTGCAGTGGGGACCCCAGGACCCCAGCCACTCCCTGCCTTTCCCGGGGCTGGAGTCTCTGTCCATAAACAGCAGGGTTGGACAGGGGGAGGGGGCTCTGAGATTGTGGGGTGCAGAGCCAGCTGCCGAGGGTGGGTCTCTCGGGGGTCACCCCCTCCCGACATCCTTAGACAGCTGCAGGGAGCTGGGTGGAGGGCTGTCCCCAGGAGAACGTGTTTGTCCAGGGACAGGCAGACGCCGATATGTCGCTGCCCCCCACCCTCTACCCTCTCCCCCCAGGTTGGCCAAAGCTAGGGCCTTGGTGCCCGAGGGGCCTCCACTCACCGTACTGACAGCGGGGACCCTGGAAGCCGCGGGGACAGTGGCACGGCTGGCTGAGCCTGGCACGCAGTGGCCCCGGTTAAAACAGAGGCCAGCGCTGCACTGGGCTGTGGAGAGAAGGAGAGACGGTCCGTGAGCAGGGACAGGCGGGAAGGGGGAGCACGGCCTGGACAGGCCCCCGGGTGCCAGGCGCCGAGCCTGCCAGGTCACCGGCCCCCACTCCCTCTGCCCTGGGTCACACACTGACCCGGGCCTGGCTGGAGCATGAAGTGCCCCCAGCCTTGGCCACCACCCGCCAGAGCGGGGCGGACCTGAGTGTGGTGGAAACCCTCTCACTTCGGCCGAGGCAAGTGCTTGTTCAAGGGCGTTCCTGGGAGGTGGGAGCAGTGCAGGTGGGGAAGGGGCAGGGCAGGAGGCAGTGGCTGCACAGGTGTGGCCCAGCTGCAAAGGGACCTGGGAGCATGGCCGAGGAGCCTCCGCAAGCCCCAGTGGTGGACCCTGCCAGGCTGGTCCTGTGCCCAGCAAGGACCAGTGCAGCCCAGGCCCGCAGGACCTGGTGGGGGCAAATAGGCTCTGATGGAGGGGGATCAAAGGGCTGGCCTCCTCCTCCTCCTCCTCCTCCCACAAAGATCCTTCTGCCCCCAGGCTCCCCGCAGCCCCAGCTGCCAGGGCTCCCTCGGGCCAGTGAGCGAGCCAGGGTGTGTGGTGCAGGAGGCCACGGCTGGGCAGGCTGCACCCCAGCTGGTCCTCCCAAGGCTCTTCACTGGCCCCCACACCAGGTGCCCTGACCAGGCTGGACCAAGTGCCCACTAGGGGCTCAGACACCAATTTCCTTGTCTCTGAAGCCCCCACCCTGCACACGACTACAGGGTGGGCCATGCCCCACCCCTGTGGGGTGCTCACCAGGACAGTGGGCACGCCAAACAGTGACTGGGCCACCCCTTGCCACCCAGACCCTGGACGACCCATGGGCTCAACAGGCTTGCGTGTCACTGACAGCATCCCTGTCCCCCCGGGAGCCTGGAAGGAGGCTCTGGACGGAGGGACCACCTGCCAGGCCAGGGCACCCAGGATTCCCGGAGCGCAGCGGGGTCAGCCTAGGGGAGGAACAGCAGCCAGGCTTGCGGCTCCAAGCCCGGCGAGGAAAACCGAGGCTCAGAGACGATCCGTGCCTGGCCCCAGGCCACGCAGCGAGGAGTGCCCAGGCCCAGGCCAGCGCTCAAGCCCAAGACTCTCCAACGCCGGCGTCTGGAGTCTGGAGGACCCAGCTGGGCCAGTGCACAGACGCTGCCCTTCGGGGATGCGGCTTCTCCTGCCATCTGTGACCATGCCACTCAGTCTCGGAGGGGTCCCCTCTGCCCTTGGGCCACCCTGCAGGCGTCCCAGCAGGTCCTCATTCACACCTGGCCAAAAGGCCCCACCAGCCTCTTCCCTCCAGCCGAACACCTGCAGCCCGAGGGGGCCGGACGGAAGCCGCATGACCCTGAGTCGGCACAGGGAAGCCCCCCTGGGCCGAGGGGCCGACCCAGGCCTGTGTAACAGGAAACATCAGTGTTCCAAGTACCCGGGGCCCGAAACCTGTTGACTCATGCCATGTTATTGAGAAAGAGTGGCCGTCTGTGTTTGTTTTTCACCATGAAGAAGGTTTTCACAGTCCTGAAGAAACTCCAGCCCCAAACGGCCAAGACCGGCAGCCTCCAGGTTGGGGCTGGTGCCGGCTGGACGCCTGCCCCGGGCACTCCGCCCTCCCAGGAGGCCCCTGCTCTGCCCCGAGGACCCGCTTGGACCTCAAAGTCCCTCCTGGAGCCCAAGCCACAGCCCGCAGTGCCCTCCCCCAGCCCTCGCCCTCTGCCCCCACCCCCAGAAGCATCTGCCTGATTCAGAGCCAGAGGAAAAATAATGCACTTCTATTATAAAACCCGACCCTGCCCCTCTCCTCTCTGTGGCCTGGCCCCACGGTGGTGTCCACAGCTGTCCCGGCTAAAGACACCGTCTCTCCAGCCAAGCGGAGGAGAAGCACACGCACGCCACCGCACACGCACGCCAGGACCCCAGCCCTGGGGCCTCCGCCGCTCTCTCTGCGTGTCCAGCGCGGACACGGATCGCCGATCTCCATCCTGGGCTAGACACGGCCTCAAGGTGCTCCGGGGACGAGGGGAGCCAATGGGAACCGTGTCCCTCCTCGTGGCACTGTGCCAGGCACTCTGTCATCACCCACCTGCATACAGTTGGTTCTGCCCCCAAGGTGCCTTGAACACACCCCTGTCTGTCCACCTTGTCCCCACCACGATGGTCACCCCACGGCCATCTCTGCCCCTGTGCATGCCCGAGCTGGCTGCAGCCTTCACTCCTCCTGCCCAACCCCCACCCCCACCCTGCAGCCACAAGACCCAAACCAGGAATCGGGTCTTGGTTCTCCTGGCTGCCAACCTTCCAATGGCTTCAGTTGACTTGGCACAAAACCCCATGGCGCCCGGCCCCCGTGCATGGATGCCCACCTAGCTCTGGGCCTCACCCCCACCCCAACCTTGCCTCCCCCAGACCCCAGGCCCAGCCCTCCTGCCCGGAGGCCTCCCTCGCACGAGCTGCTCTGGGCTCGGACACCTGTCTCTTCCCCACACGTCCCTGCCTCCAGGAGCCTACCTGGGCCCCGGGTGCAAATCAGGCCACTGTGCCCTTCTCTGTGTCCCTGGAGCAGCCACCCTCTGCCGTGGTCACCACCACGTGCCCCAGCACCAACTTGCAGGATGCTCCTCGGTTTTGCTGAATGAGTAGAATGAAGGTGAGAACAAAGAAACGGCCACGCCAGGCCGCGTGCGAGTCCCCTGTGCACCTGCCACGGGGAAGGGCCGACGCCACGGCCAAGGCGGAGGGCAGTGGGCGGTGTCAGGCCCCCAGACGCGGGAAAACACCGCCAGGCTTTAAAACAAAGGCTCTGAGACCAGGAATCTGACGCCGTCTCAGAGGAAAGGGGCCGGGGGGGCATCTCACATGTGTGAAAAAAGAACCAAATGGGAAACTTGAAAGTGAAAAATGGAAACTCCACGCGTGAGAGCAAAGGAGGAGATGGGCGGACGCTTCTGCAACGCCATTCAGAGATTTCTCTGTCACGACTTTGTTGCATGTGTAACCTTTTTCTTTTTAAGCCGCTACTGAATCTCAGGGTGCCCACCGTGTCCCTGCCCACAGGGTCTGCCTGGGGAGCTCCCCCGTGCTGTCGGCTCGGCAGGGACCCTGGGGCCCTGGAGGGACCCGTCCAGACCTGCGAGTGTGAGAAATACCAGGTCCAGGGAGGTGACGGGGCCCTCGGTGCCCACGGGGTCTGCTGCAGCCAAGAGGCCGTGTCCCCCGAGGGCCCGGACGGTGGGGAGGCTGGGGCAGGGCCCATCCAGGCACGGCTGGAGAACTCCCCGGAGAGCCAGCCGTCCCCACGGCTCCCTGCCCAACACACGCCCCACCTTTAGGACCTGGGCCAGCTCCCGGGCAGGGAGGGACACCGTGGGTTTTGGAGACACGCTCAGGCTCCAGATCTGACATACTTAGCAAGCTCATCACAGGTCAGTTTTTAGCCCCTGTGAGCCTCAGTACCCCCCTCTGAAAAATGGTGACATTCCGGCTAAGCTCCATCACGGGTGGTTTCCACTCGTCATTGTAACATTCTGGACGACCCTCGTCCCCAGGCTTGCAGGGGCCCGAGGACTCCAAGACACCATGGGCCTCCCAGCTCCAGGGGCCGGCAGGATGGCTCGCACGTGCAGAGCAGGGGAGCAAGTGCTGAGCCGGGTGTGAGCGTGAGCACGTGTGGGTGTGAGCACACGTGGCTGGGGCGATGGACACAGTTGTTACATGCATTTGAGTGAGCACAGGGGTGTGAGCATGTGTTTGACGTGAGCACATATGGGGGCCTGTGTACACTGCAGTGAGCACACGTGAGCGAGCATGTGTGGGGGTGACCATGTCAGTGTGAATGTGTGCACAGGCATGTGTGTGCGCATGTGCACAAATCTGCACAAGGAGGGGCAGGGGTGAGCTTGTGTGGGCGGCGGGGCCAGGTGCACGCGTGAGTCCAGGTGTGACTCCACGGTTGGGGGTGGGGCGCAGTGGTCCCCCCGTGCCACCTGTGGGCCATGCACTGTGACCAGCAGAGGAAAGGGAGCCCAGGGCCTGGCTCGGCCAGTTCCCACGCTGGGGCGCGGGGCTGACGTGCGGCCAGAGAGGAAAAGGAAATGCAACCGTCAGAGGCAGGAAAGCAGAGGGCAGCCCTGTGGCCCGCGGTGGCCTCCTGCAGGCCAGAAGGACTGCAACCAGGCCTGGGGGGACACAGAGGGGGCAGCGGCCACCGGGATGACCCAGAAGAGGAGGGAGACCTGCAGGGCCCGCCTGCCTGGTGGCCCGACAGCCGGACGGGGGCCCAAACCCAGGCCCGGCCTCAGGCACCCAAGTGCAGTTGCACCGAAGCCGCCGGCGCACAGGGCCGGATCCAGGGCAGCGACCACCGAAACCCCTCGGGCCCTGGGCTCCCCAGGCCCAGCCCGGCCCTCGTGGGGAGCAGGAGGGAGACACAGGCAGGCAGGGTCTCCCCGGAACCTTGTTCCTGCCTGTGCCCACCTCGGGGGCTGCAAGTGGAGGGACCGGGGCCGCTGTGAGGACGGCTGCCCGCGGCACACGGTTCTGCCAGGACCCAGGGCGGCCCGGCTGAAGCATCGCGGGGGTGCAGGCAAAACGTGCCACCTGCCCGGGATAACACTGGGATCCAGAGAACCCCTGTGCAGAGGACGCACCCCGACGGCAGAAGAGCACCCGGGCCCAGCTGTGCGCAGGCCACACCGCCCGCAGGCCGGCGGGCAGGGAAGCCGCGTCACCACGCCCCCCCCGCCCTGCCCCCCCCTGCCCAGCACGGCACACTCGAACCATCTCTCAGAGAAACCACAACATGACGAGCAGCTTCCTGCCATCCTCACGCAGCGCCGGCGTCCTCCTCTTCCGCACAAACACCACGGCCCACGGGTCTCCACGCCCGCCCTCGGGGCCCTGACGTTGCCCTTGCAGCTGGGGGGGAGGACCTGCCCCCACCTCCAGCCCTGACACCTGCCCGGGGCCCACGGCAGCTCCTTAGACTCTCGATGACCCCACAGAGGCAGAGGGGCTCCAGGCACCTGCTGGACTCCAGACTCCCACCCCCAGACAGGTGCCTGGTCCCACCCACACCTGCCCCCTTGTCCCAGGGGGAGAGCAGAGCCCCAGCCCCAGGGAGCCCCTGAGCGCAGCTGAGCCCACGGAGGGGAGGAGGACACACTGCAGAGCCACCGAGCGGTGGAGGTGAGGCCCTGACCCCGTCCCGAGGGGCCACAGCTCCACACAGCCCCCACGCCAGAGTCCTTGGCCAAGGGACGCCGTGGCCGGGGGGGGGGTCCCCATCACCGTTTGTGCACCGCTGCGACCACCACCACTGCTGTTAGCAGGAGCCACCGTGGCCCAGGAAGGCTTTGTCTAGAGACCTCCTCTTCCCACAGCAGGAGCAGCCTGCACTGCTTGAGCACTTACTGTGTACTAGCACCACGTGAAGGCGCCACGTGAAGGTACTCATTCAATCTGAGGGTTTGCAACAGACGTTTTCACACCTGTCCCGGAGCCGGAGCCGGACGCCTGGGCGGGGTGGAGGAGGTCAGCCAGCCAAGGCCCCGAAGCTCACAGGGGGCAGGGAAGGGGCCGAGCCTGTTCTCCTCTCTGGACTGCTTGGACAGGACGGGCACCGGCCCCTCGATGGACACTGGCCCTGCTGCTCACCTGGGGCCGGCCGGGATCCACGAGGCCACCCATTCTACCCTGCCCTGCGGGGGCCCTCCCATGGGGTGCAGGGAAGCCCCCGGCCCAGTGACCTCAGAAAGAGGCCCGTGCACAGTGACCAAAGGCCTGCAGTTCAGGGCATGAGCCCTCTCCCCCAGAGAGTAGCCGCTGGGGACGGTCCTTGCCCGCTTCCCCGCCCGGACTGCAGGCCCCATGGTGTGGGGGAGGTCCAACGGCCTTGGCCAGGCCCACCCCGCCGGCCCGACTAGGCCCTGGACACTCCTGCAGCCCCCAAGCCCCCCCCCACACACACACACTGGCTCTCGCCTGCAGGCCACACGCTGGGGCCAGACGCGGCAGCCAGCGTGCATCCGGAGAAGCCAGACCGCAGAGCTTTCCGGGGATCATTGAAACAAACAAAGAAAAGTAAAATACATAAATAAGTAAATCCTGCGCTAAAAATGAATTTTTAAAAACAAACAACTGGCCAGGCGAAGCGGCTGATGCCTGTAATCCCAGAACACTGGGAGGCCGAGGCGGGAGGATTGCTTGAGGCCAAGAGTTCTAGACCAACTTGAGCAAGAGCGAGACCCAGTCTCTACTAAAAATAGAAAAATTAACCAGGCATGGTGGCGCGTGCCTATAATGCCAGCACACTGGGGAGGCTGGGGCAGGAGGATCCCTCGAGCCCAGGAGTTGCAGGCTGCAGTGAGCTGTGATGACACCACTGCACTCTACCCCAGCTGAGACACTGAGCCCCTGTCTCCAAAACACAAAAACCAAAACAAACAACCAAGAAAGCCAAAGCTCAGGCTCAGGATCCAGTGGGGACCCTGCCAGAGTCACAACCTGGACCCCCAGGATGGGGCTCCGTGGCTGAGTCCTCTTCCTCAATTACCCCATGCACCTGCCCAGCCCCGCCCTGTACCATGGCAAGGCCCCGCCCCTACCTGTGTGGTCCCCGCCCGGCTGGATCAGACCCTCCCTGCCACCGAGGGAACGTGACCGCCCCGGGTCCCGTGGCCTTCCTGCCAGCAGGGCCAGCCCAGGGGAGAGCCACCAGCTAAGGCCCAAGGGTCCCGTGGGTGTGTGACAGCCTGGCGCCTGGCTGGCAGAGCTAGCAGGACAGGCCCGAAGCTCACGCCAAGCCAGACTGGGGACGCAGAGAGACCATCCCGGTCACTGGGCCCTGCTGTGGCCCCATCGTGATGGGACGTTGGCCTGGCGTCCCCAAGTCTCCAGCGAGGAGAAACCACCCCAGACTCCAGGGACAGGCCCTGCCCCCAGACTCGGGATGGTCACAGGGTGACCGTGAGGGTCACGAGACCCAGCTCAGGGCTCGGAGGGTACAAGGACGGCCGGACACTGCCCCACACACCTGAGAGCCGTACCTGAGCTCTGAGCCTAGGGGCAGCCCCAGCCACACCCCTGGGCTGTGCCCTCCCTAGTTGTGAGGACTGGGGGGCGGGCTGTTGCCCCACCTCCTCTCCCAGCCCCTAGCACCATGCCAAGCCCCTCACTGCTTCTCCCCTCACTAGGATGCTCCTCCTCCTCCTCAGCCTCTGCAAGGAAACTCGGCTTTGATGTCTGCCCTGCCCCCACCCGCTCCCCCCAAACAGGCCCTGTGCTGCTCCAGATGCCGGAAGCAGAGGGCTGGACCCATCAGGAGCTGGGGAGGAAGCCCCTGCTCAGGACCCTCACGACTGCTGGGGGGCTGGCACAGCCTACTGGGGGGCACGCCTGGCGGTCGCCCCCTCCCTGCCCTGCTGCCAGTGGCCCCAGCTGCCTCCTTCTCCCTCCTGCCTCTCCTCCCTTCCTGGAGAGAACTAGTCACTTCCTCCAGGGGAAAAACACCACCCATCCCTTCTCCTCCCTTCTCCCCTCCACTCCATCCCCTCTCTTGCCGCCTACATGAGGAGGGACCCGGGGGTCATGGGGACACCACAGCATGGACCCCTGGAGTGGGAGTCAGTCTCTCCCGGTCACAGGAGCCGGGGGACCCCGCCACCAGCTAGCCCTCCACGTGACCCGGCCACCTGCCACAGCACAGCCCGCACCACGCAATACCACGTCGACCCTTCATGGGAGGCTGGCTCCTCGGGACAGGGTCCCACGGCCTCTGAGTCAACCCCTGCAGGCAGGGCTGCTGGCCCCTTTGCCCAGGTAGCCTCACCTGCCAGGACACCTGCCGCAGGCCAGGAACCCCCAGCAGCAGCCCACGAGCCCCAGTCCTTTGGTGAAGTGGAGGCTTGGGAGCCACCCGCTGAGATCAGACCCCGATTCCAGTCCCGCTCCCCACGCCTGGGCCAGGCCACCGCACCTGCCTGGATCGGGTCAGAAGCGGCACCGGCTCTCGAGGGGTACTGGACCCACAGGCCACCCCCACTACGTGGTGCTACCCCGCTCGCTCCTCGCAGAGGGGCAGGCTGAAGGTCCACTCGGCAGATGAGAAGACTGAGGCCAGGCGCCCGATGTGCCCAAGAACACCCGCAAGTGGGAGAGTGGAAGGAGCCGCTCTCTTGCGCCCTGGCAGACTGAGGGCCCGGCCCAGCCCTGAATGGCCGGGGAGCGTGGAGCAGCCACCCTCTGCCTGGAACTTTCTGGAAACGCAGCAGCCAGAAGGCCCCCAAGGGCCGGGGCTGAGCAGACTCCAAACCAGGCCCACAGGCACCAACTCGTGGCCCCAGGGCCCCCTCGGGTCCTCCCCGATGCCAGGTGTCAGACACCCTCGGGCGGAGCCACCTGACCCCCGCCAGACCCCACTCTCTCTCCGTGGCTCCTGACAGCCTTGGCCCCGGGGAAACTCCTGCTCCTTCTCTCCCTTTATTATTTCATTTTAACAGCCTGCTGCAAGCGGAGTGGCTGCATGGTGGCCCTGGGAGGTCTGGTGCTGCTGTGGGAAGGGGCACCCTGCGGGGTGGGGGGGAGCAGGGGGAAGGGGGGGGCGCAGGCACTCACCCGAGAGGCAGCCCTCCTCACCCGGCTGCTGGGTCCACCCTCGGCAGCACCTGAACACGGTCCGGGCCTCCGTGGCGTAGACCTGCCGGTAGCCCATGTAGTAGACGGTTCTAGAAAAGAAGGGAGAAGGGAAGTGTTCGCCACCGCAGGACAAGTGCGCCTGGCAACTGTCAGACCCTGGGGGCTGACTCCGCATCGTCCCATTTCCCAGACAGGCAGGCTGAGGCCGAGGTGCCCGGCAGGGTGGGGGACTCCTGTGCAACCCAGGGCGGGGCCTGAACCCCACGTGCGAGGGGCACGGGCCATCCTGCGGCCAGCAACGACGGCCCCACACCCACTCGCCAGGAGCACGCTGCCCCTGCCCCTGCCCGGCCCCTCCCACAGTGGTCCCAGCTCCAAGCTGGGGTCTGGAGTCAAGATGCACAGCTGGCCCCTCACCTGGCTCTTAGCACCAGGCCAGTCTGGGAGGGTCTGGGGAGTCAGAATGGAGGGGCCCAGCCTGGGAGCCAGAATCACTTCTGGAATGAGCCAAACGGGCCCGGGGTGCCCAGCGCGGGCCAGGCGGGTTCAGACCCCCGGCACTCAGCCCACCACTGAGCTAAAGCCGTTACGGCAGCGGCAGGGGGCCCCCTGTGTGCCCAGGTCAGAGGGGAGACGCCAGGGTGGGCAGGAGGGAGGGCTTCCCAGGGCTGCATGGCTTGTTCCACTCAGACGGGACAGGCTGGGGCTCTCGCTAAGGCCGAGTGGAGAATGGCAGGGCCCACCTGGGACCTGGCCCAGGAAGTGGCCGTAGGAAGAAGATGCCCATGGCCAGAGCGAGAGCAGCTCACCCGAAGGGTGGGGTCCTCCCATCCCTCCCCTCCCCGAGTCCAGAGGTGGCCCCAGACCACCAGCACCACAGCGCCCACAGAGGCCCCGCCAGCTCAGGCTACCCAGCGCCCAGCGCAGCCTCCATGCCACTTCTGCAGACGTCGTCGCCAGCCCCCACGGCGGGCAGACTTGGCGGAGCAGTTGGCGGAGCCTGCCTCTGCCACCCTGGGCTCCCTGAGCTGAGAGCAGGTGGGGGCCGGGAAGGCTGCACACACCCCTGCAGGCTCCTCCCGCTGCACCCCACCCAGGATGCGGGTCCTGGCTCTTCCTCGCCAGGGCTGCGGGTTTCGGGGGGCCTCTGCCCTCCTGGGAAGCTCCCCTCCTGCTTCCCCAGAGCAGCGGTCACCAGGGCCACAGGATATGTCCGGCACCCGCCCCCCTCCCGCCCCGGGAGCCCTGACACTCGGCACTCGCCCCTCCCTGACCGACCTCCCCTCACTGTGAGTGCCAGCAAGCTGCCGGCCAGCTGCCCGTGGCATGGCGGCCCGTCTCTCCCTGCTGTGCTGCGGTGAGTGACGTCCCCAAATCCAGTCCACTTGGCACGTGGCCTTCCTTGGAAACAAGGTCTTTGCTGAGCCTGTGGCGTTTAGGTGAGGTCACACTGGGTGCGGTGCACTTTAACCCGATGGCGGGTGTATTTAGGAGAAGAGGGACGCTCGGACACAGAGGCACAGGAGCAGGCCACGTGGGGACAGAGGCAGGGACCGGGCGATGCGTGTGGCACCCAGCGGCAGCACGAGCAGCTGCGGGGAGGCCAGGGTCAGGCGCTGGCTCGTGGCCTCCAGCAGGAGCCAGCCCTGCCCACACCTCGACCCCGGGCCTCCGGCCCCCAGGCTGGGAGAGGACAAACGCCCGCTGTGTCCAAGCCCCCGGTCTGTCCGGGTTTGTTACAGCAGCGGCAGGAAACTCATACCCGGTCACGCCTGGCACCGGCCCAAGTCCCATGGCGACAGGCCTTTGTTTCTGCAATAACAGAGCCAGTCGCAGGATGCGGGCGGTGGGGGAGGATGGAGGCAGACGGAGAGGCTGAGAGGGAGAGAGAGACAGAGAGAGACATAGACAGACAGAGTCAGAGAGAGAGAGAGACAAAGGCAGAGAGACAGAGGGAGACAGAGAGAGTCTGAGAGAGGGAGACGGAGGGAGAGAAGGAAAGAGAGACAGAGATAGAAAGAGACATAGACAGAGACAGTCTGAGAAAGGGAGAGAAGGAGAGACATAGACAGACAGAGTCAGAGAGAGACAGAGATAGAGAGAGAGAGTCAGAGAGAAGGAGAGAGATAGAGACAGAGACAGAGAGACAAAGGCAGAGAGAGAGACAGACGGAGACAGAGGCAGAGAGAGACAGAATCTGAGAAAGTCTGAGAGAGGGAGAGGGAAGGAGAGAAGGAAAGAGAGACAGAGAGAGACAGAGATAGAAAAAGACATAGACAGAGATAGAGAGAGAAAGAGACAGAGGCAGAGAGAGACAGAGACTGAGACAGAGAGAGACAGAGGCAGAGACAGAGAGAGACAGAGGCAGAGAGAGGCAGAGTCAGAGAGAGACAAAGGCAGAGAGAGACAGAGACAGAGTCAGAGAGAGACAGAGGCAGAGAGAGGCAGAGGCAGAGAGAGACAGAGACAGAGTCAGAGAGAGGCAGAGGCAGAGAGAGGCAGAGGCAGAGTCAGAGAGAGGCAGAGGCAGAGTCAGAGAGAGACAGAGACAGAGTCAGAGAGAGACAGAGACAGAGTCAGAGAGAGGCAGAGGCAGAGAGAGGCAGAGTCAGAGAGAGACAAAGGCAGAGAGACAGAGACAGAGTCAGAGAGAGGCAGAGTCAGAGATAGACAGAGGCAGAGAGAGACAGCGGCAGAGAGAGACAGAGGCAGAGGCAGAGGCAGAGAGAGACAGAGGCAGAGACAGAGAGAGACAGAGGCAGAGGCAGAGAGAGACAGAGGCAGAGGCAGAGACAGAGGCAGAGAGAGACAGAGTCAGAGGCAGAGACAGTGGCAGAGAGAGACAGAGGCAGAGGCAGAGACAGAGGCAGAGAGAGACAGAGGCAGAGACAGAGAGAGACAGAGGCAGAGTCAGAGAGAGACAGAGGCAGAGAGACACAGAGACAGAGTCAGAGAGAGACAGAGGCAGAGAGAGGCAGAGTCAGAGAGAGACAGAGGCAGAGAGAGACAGAGTCAGAAGCAGAGTCAGAGAGAGACAGAGGCAGAGGCAGAGACAGAGGCAGAGAATAACAGAGGCAGAGACAGAGAGAGACAGAGGCAGAGTCAGAGAGAGACAGAGGCAAAGTCAGAGAGAGGCAGAGAGAGAGAGAGACAGAGGCAGAGAGAGAGAGAGGCAGAGGCAGAGAGAGACAGAGGCAAAGTCAGAGAGAGGCAGAGAGAGAGAGACAGAGACAGAGTCAGAGAGAGACAGAGTCAGAGAGAGGCAGAGTCAGAGAGAGGCAGAGTCAGAGAGAGACAGAGGCAGAGAGAGACAGAGTCAGAGGCAGAGACAGCGGCAGAAGAGACAGAGGCAGAGACAGAGAGACAGAGGCAGAGTCAGAGAGAGACAGAGTCAGAGGCAGAGACAGCGGCAGAAGAGACAGAGGCAGAGACAGAGAGACAGAGGCAGAGTCAGAGAGAGACAGAGGCAAAGTCAGAAGAGGCAGACACAGAGAGAGGCAGAGAGAGACAGAGTCAGAGAGAGACAGAGACAGAGTCAGAGAGAGACAAAGGCAGAGAGACAGAGACAGAGTCAGAGAGAGACAGAGGCAGAGAGAGAGAGACAGAGGCAGAGAGAGACAGAGGCAGAGAGAGACAGAGGCAGAGACAGAGAGAGACAGAGGCAAAGTCAGAGAGAGAGAGAGACAGAGGCAGAGAGAGACAGAGGCAGAGAGAGACAGAGGCAGAGGCAGCGGCAGACCCGGAGGGCTGGAAGCCAGGCTGTCCCAGGCCCGCCCTGCAGCCTCCAGCCCCCAGCCAGCAGCCGTCCCCACCCCCAGCCGCTGTCTCTAGGAACGTGACCAGGGGCCTGGCCAACAGCCACGGGGTTGAGGGCCCTTGAGCCCTGGGAGCGGCTGTCTCCAGGTAACAAAACACCTCCGGGCTGGAGCGTGGGAAGCCGGAGGTGGCCCTGGGGACCCCAGCCCCCCAAACGAGCGGGGCAGCGGCCAGGGCGGGCCCGCCCCCCGGAAGCGTGTGTCCGAGCGCGCACTGCACACAGAGCCACTCTGGGAGCGCCTTGCAAAACACCACTTGGCAGGACATGAAACCACTTGCCTGGACAGAGACCGAGCGCAGCGGTGGACAATATCTGGCGGCGCTGAGCGCCGGCCCTCGCGTCGTAAATATTTATCCCTCTCCCCGGCCGCGGCGAAGCTGGGCTACGTGCTGCTCCCTGGGTCGCCGGCCGCCCCACCCCCTAGAGGGAAAGACCCAAGGAGAGGGAGAGGGCCATCCGGCCTGCAGCCCCCATGGCCCCCCGGGGAAAACCCTGGGTCCCCCGCAGCCAGCGCCAGCTCCACGGCTGCAGCCGCCATGGGAGCCTCTCCCCGAGGGCCTGGGGGTGCAGGGGCGGGCACGAGGCCGCCAGGCCCGCTCGGCGCCCACCTCTCTGCCTTCCGCAGCCGGCGTCCCGCAGCCGAGGCCCGGGTGCAGGTGCAGGGAGCGTGTGCCTAGCGGGAGGGACACGTGTGGCAGCTTCACGCCCCGTGTCCCCTCCCTCCCCAACCCTTCCTGGCCAGGCGCTCCCAGGCTGGGGAGGCCGGTGCCGGCTTGCTGGGAAGTTCGTGCTGGGACTGACTACGAGACCCCAGGGCACTGCGTCTGGCCTCTCGGGGGTAGTCACAGCCGGTCCTGTTCGGGGCCAGGCAGAGCCCCCCGCACCCCGCAGGGCCCTGCCTGTGGCCGCAGCCTCCCCGGCCAGGAAGCAAACCCAGCACCAGAGGCCACTGCCCTTCTGACTGCAGGGGACACGGTGGCAGTGGCCACACTCGGGGCCTAGCCAGTGTGCAGTCACTTAACCCTCACCCCAGCTGCAATCTGGTGGGGAAACTGAGGCATGGGCAGGCTCTGCACCTTGCTGGGGTTCACCCAGCCCGAGGACCTGGCCAGGGTCCCTCCTGCAAACCCTGCTCTGCTGGCTGTCCCCACTAGAGCTCAGGAGAGGAGGTGGCTCCTTTCTGTCCCGGGGCAGAGTTGGGGTGCACTCAGTTTGTGGGGTACAGAGCTGCCACCTCTCACCCTCGGCTCCCAGCCCCTCTGCAACTTGCTCCGACCCACCGGAGAGTTCTCTGTGGAGAAGGGTCGCTAAAGAAAGAGGAGCTGTGAGCCAAGCACGCGGGGACCCGGCTGACAACGAAGCACGGGAGCTGGCACTGTCGCACAGCGGGCAAAGCCCAACGTTCAGAGCCACACCCGTGGCGTCCTCCGGGTCTGGCCAGGGCACCTGCCACGTGAGTCCCGTGCTGGCCTTGCAGGCTGGGTCACTGGCTGCTGTCACCAGTGACGGAGAGGCCTGGCCGTGGTGCCAGCCCGGGCGCAAGGCCACGAGGCGGCTGGCAGAGGCCATGCCTATTCCCTGAGCCAGCACCTCGGGAGTCCCCGCCCCGCCCTGCCCTGCAGAGGGGACGCGATGACAGGGCCCCCACCACCTGGCCCCCGGCTGAGATGAGCACCTGCTGCACTTGGGCCAAACCTGACCGAGTTCCAGTGACACTTCTGGAGCCAGGTCCTGAACCAGTGCCGACTCTGCAGAATCAAAACTGACCACAGCCCCCTTCTCCGCCATGCCCTCCCCTGGGGCTCATCACTGCTACGCATGCCCCAGCTGAGCCGACCCCGCTGCTCCTTGTTCCCTGGGGGCCTTCAAGCTTTGGGGCACCCTGTAGGGAAATGCCTGGACATGAGGGCAGCCACTGGCCTCCTAGAGGTTGGGAGGGCTTCACAGAGGAGGGCATATGTGAGCTAGGTTTTGAAGGATGAATAGGAGTTCAACGGGGGGCTGTGTGCCTCACAGCCAGCCCTCAGGCCGTGGAGTCAAAAAGAGCAGAGTTGACATTTCAACCCTGCCACTCACTGCCTGCATGACCGCAGCCAGGATGCCTGGGCCCTCTGGGCCTCAACTCCCTCACCTCGGAAACAGAGCTCAGTGGCTGCCCTGCGGAGGATGCAGGGGATGCGGCCGAGCACGGGCAGCCGGACCCTCCCGAGAGCCCGGCTTTCTCCGAGCAGGCGGGTCCAGGGAGCCAGACCACGCCAGTGGGACCCACCGGCCAGGCGTGCGGGCACCCAGCTTCCGAGCCCTGCTCTGTGCCAGGCAGCCTGGGAAGGGCGTCCTGGGCATGGCCCCTGGCACGGGAGGGGCGGGCAGCCCAGCTCACAGGTGAGAAGAGAGGCTGAGATCTCCAGGCTGCTGGGCGGAGCCCGTGACAGACCCATGAGCCACCAGGGTGCAAGCCCCGTTCTCAGCACCACTCTGTGCCCAGCGTGCTCCTGGGGTCCCGTCGGGTCACCCACCCTGTGCGCTCCCCAGGGGCGGGGCTGGGCACCCTCGCTGAGACCCAGCGGTGGCTCTCCGCGTCCAGGCCCCGCTGGGAGGCTGCGCGGAGGCTGTCCCCACGGACGCAGGAGGGATGGCACGCGCCCACCTCCCTCACACAGCCCAGAGCCCAGCTGGGACACGGGGCCACGACCAGCTCCTCGTGGACTCGGGCTCGTAGCACTGGGGACTCACGGGCAACAGGCAAGGCCGGGGCTCCGGGTCAGGGCCGGGGCTCCCGAGGGCTTGTGCAGGAAGGCTGCACCGGTCTGGGCAGGCAGGGAGCGGGGAGGAAGCCCAGACACAGCTGCTCCAGGGCCCGCAGGGGACGGCTGCTGGAGGGACGTCTGGACAGGACACCTGGGGACTCGGCTCCGGGAGGGGACAGGAAGAGGAAACACAGACGTGAGCCCGGTCACCTGTCGCCATTTGGTGCTGGCTCCAGCACACCACGCAGAACGCCTCTTGGGCACAGGGTGCCGACAAGACTCTGGTTGGCCGGAGTGAGACAGCAAAGGGGACCTTGGCCACACCCCAGAGCCAGGCGGCCGGGACGGCTGTCCCCTCCCCCACACAGGGAAGCCGAGGCAGAACAGCCACCTTGGGGAGGGAGGGTTGCTGGAGGGTCCCAGACACCTCGAGCAGTGCGGGGGAATCCCCTGCCGACATGTGGCCTGGGCCACGTGGGCCTGGGCCGAGGGACGTTCCCCGCCGACGCCCTGGACGCCCTGCCGGGAGACTGGGGGCTCCCACGCTGCCCGCAGGCCGAGGAGCCATCTGCATGGCCAGCCCCGGCGAGTTCCTCAGCCGGGGTCCCAGCAGGTTCCGGCTGCTTCTAGACGTAGCCCTTCTGCCACTAGCTGTCGAGACGATGGGGCTTACGTGGCCTAATTTCCCCTTTGTAAATACACATCCACACACGCATGTGCGGGTCGCACACACCAGCACGTTTGGGGAGAAAACAGCGAGGGGAGGTTTCTGCTTTTCGCTCAGGGTGGCTCAGCCTCAGCTTTCCTGACACTGGGGCTGGGTCACTTGGTGGGGACGCGCTGTCCGGTGACAGCAGGACACCAAGCAGCACCCTGGCCCTCCCGGCTCAGCCCTCGGCAGCCAAACCCGCCCAGGCACCGCCAACGTCCGGGGAGCAGGACGACAGAACCACCCCCGCCGAGAGCCACTGTTACAGCCCAAATGTACTTTCTCCTCCTCTCCCCTGAACACCTGCGGCCCGTGTAGCAAACGGACGTGTGCCATGAAAGCCAGGAGCATCAGGTGGGGAGCCCCGCATGGGACACGCGCCCACGGGGGGCTGCCGGCCGCCGACGCCCGCTGCGCATTCCTGCTCCCTCCCCCAGACACAGGGCAGCCCCTCCTAACACGCAGCAGCCGCCAGCTTCCCCCACCGCACTCTGCCCTGGGCAGGCTCTGCAGAACCGGAGGCTATAAAAGGGGAGAGGTATGCACAGGCACTCCTCAAGCTTGATTTTGAAATAAAATCTTGAGCAATAAAAGCTTGCACGCGGGCTTGGGAACCAGGCCGGGGGGCCAGGCGGTGCGTCTCCAGCAGAACTCGGGGGACCATGCACCCGCCTCATCCTCCCCTGCAGGCTAGCGCCCTTCCTCACAGGGTCCCCCACCCTCACGAAGCGCCTGGGAGCATGGCTCAGCAGGACAGTGCCACGGCCTGGGAGCCCCCTCCAGGCAGCCTCACCCCAGAGGGCCGGGAAAGGCCTTGTCCTCAGAGGAGGGGGCAAGGGGTGCACACAGCCCTTAGACAAGGACGGGGCCCCAGCCCCTGGTGTGGGCAGAGCCCCACCCATCGGACCCCGGGTCCCCAGCACGTACCTGCGCTCGTGGCCGACGCACCAGGCCTGTGGCCCACAGCCGGGCTTCCACACGGGCACCACGCGGCTGAAGGCCTGCACGCAGGGCTGGCGGCGGCCCACCAGGGTCAGCTCCTGCTCGGCACACACGTGGGGCCTGGGACAGGGACACAGACAGTCAGCGCCTCAGCCACCAACACCCGGCTGGCACCCGCCCCCTCCTGAACGCCTGCCCTCGGTGTCGGCCCGACTGGGGTGGGGTCCAGACCGTGGCCACCCAGGCCGGCTGTGGAGCCCAGGCTCAAGGGCAGGGGAGCTCAGAGGGGAAAGGGACGACAGGCACACCATCCCCCATGTGCCCTGTGTGTGACGCTGCTCCTAATCCCCTGAGATCCCTCCACACAGACCCTGCCGCCTTCCCCAGACAGGCAATGCGGGGCTGAGGTGCAGTGCGCAGGGTGGATCCCGCGCCCACCTGCCCTCCCACCCCAGCCCTCCCCACGTCCCCTCGACACTCTCTGAGCCAGGCAGCCTGCCCTGACTGCGGGCAAAGGTGTCTCCACAGAGCAAATTCTGCAAGAGAACAAGGGCTGAGAGCTAGTGTCCCCTGTGCTAGGTGAAGTCTGGGGTCGCAGGACTCCACGTGGCCCCCAAGGGAGGGAAGAGGCTTATCCCTCCTGGACAAGCACGGGGCTTACTCCTCAGGACAAGGGGCCGGTGCACCCTGTGGGAACCAGAGTCTGCCCCCCAGGCTGGGGACCCAGCAAGCCTGGCAAGTCCCCCATCAGACCCCTCCCACCCCAGAGCCACCCCCTCCCCCAACTTCCCTAACTGAGGTCCCTGCCCGCCTGGGGATACCTCGGGCACCGTCCTGCCTTGTCACCACCCTCCACCCGTGCCCTGCGTGAGGTCCGGCTGCAGGCAGGCGGCCCCCTGGCTCAGCACTCCGACTCTGCCCGCCCCGTCCAGCCACCCTGGCCGGGGGCCAGCCGCCCCCAGACGGATGCTCTCCAAACGGAAGACTCTATGTTTCCTCCTTCCCTTGGGCTCATGCTGGGTGGGGAGCCTCGTCCCCTCTGATTGCAGCCAGCCCCACCACGCTGAACAAGTCGGGAAAGCACAGACCCAACTCTGCAGCCGGCGAGATGAAAGCAGCGATCAGCAGGACTGCCAGCTGGGCGGGAGGGTCTCCAGCTGCCCACTGGTGAAGGGGACAGATGGCGGCCAGGATCAGAGGCCAGCTCCAGGCCCCCAGTCAGGTCCAAGGGAAGCCAGGGCTGCTGCTGAACATGTCCTGCCAGAGACATCCTACGCCCAAAGTCCTGCCCTGGCCCCTCCCACGGCTTCCCAAACTTCCCATCCCCAGCGGAGGCAGCACAGTGTTCATCCCTGTAGCCGAGTCCAGGTGGCTGCAGAGTGAGGGCCCCAGGGCACAGGGCAGAGCCACCTGGCCAAGCGGGGTCAGGCTCCCCGTGAACTCCTTGACGGGACCTGTGACTGCAGCCTCCACGGCCACCTGAGCAGGAGGGATGTGGCTGTGCCCTCCCAGGGCGGGGTCAGAAAGGCTCTGCAGTTGCCTCTTCCTGCACCAGGTACTTCCAAGAGCCCACCCATCTCTAACAAGGAGGGAGGGGAAGAGGCAACTCAGCTCAGAAGAGTCTCCTTGGTGCCCAGCACCAGGTCCTTTCTGGACATTAGATGGTCAAATCCCCCCAACTCCCCAGGGAGGAGGTGACAGTGAGCCCTCTTGGTCCACTCGAAGTCACCAGCTACTGAAAAGTGGAGCCAGGACTAAAGGCCAGGTCTCTTCTGCCTTCCCCAAGGGCCTAAGATCCCAGGGTAAGAATTTAGGGAGAGGGGAAGGTAGATCATGAACAGAGGGTCTCGTCCCCCAGGAAGGGCCTCCTCAGCCTTCCTGGGGCTGGGTTCTGGCCTGAGGGTCCCTGCTTCCACCCTTCCTGGCCTTATTCCTGACCCCAGGCTACAACACGGACGGATAGTGCCATGGACCCCCAGGGCCACTCTCCCCTCCCCCACCCTGCTCTGTGCCCAGGAGGCTGACCTCTGTGGATTACATCCTGCAACACACACACATGCACACACACACATATACATACACACAAGCACACATATGTGCACATATATACACATACATGTACAATGCACCTGTGCACATACACCCATATTCATGCATACACGCACATGTACACATAGACATACAGACACCTACACATACATCACATGTACACACATAAACACATGCACATATACACACATGCACACATGTGCACACACGTACACACATACACATGCACGCTTACACATATATACACACACATGCATGCACACACACACACCCCACCCTCGGGCTGCTGGCTGGGTCTGGCCAATGGAGGGCAGCAGGAGCTGGGGGCTAGGAGGGGAGCGAAGCTGGGGGATTTGTCCCTCCTGGGGGTCTGAGGTGGTTGGGGGCTGCCTCCCACCCCAGGCCCGAGCTCCACTCACTCTGGGTTCCAGGAGCCGCCCTCCAAGCACCGTTCACCCCAGGGCGCAGTGGGCGCCTGCTGCCGCACCCCAGGCGGCTTCCCGCCCCTAGGCCGCCGTGCACACAGCTTTTTGCGTAGACCCCGCCCTGGTGAGCTCCATCTCCCTCCCACTGTCAGATGCACTGTCCTCCTAAAATCAAAAAGCATGTGACAGATCCCTCCAGCCCCCAGGCGACAGGCTCTGTGGCCGCGTAGCATCCTGCAGTGGTTCTCAAAGAGGGGTCCCCAGGCCAGAACCAGCAGCCTTTCCCAGGAACTTGTCAGAAATGCACGTTCTTGGGCCCCGCCCCGGACCTGGTGAATCTGGAACTCTGGTGGTAGGACCCAGCCTTGCATAGAGACTCAACAGTGACTTGTTTTTAACAAACCCGCGGGGGTGGATTCTGATGCGTCCTCAAGTTCAAGAACCTCTGGGCTTGAGTTGGCAGCAAGTTCCCTGGTGCCAGAGCCTGGGCTTGAACCTCCCTCCCCAGTCACTGTCTGCAAGGTGGCAGGTCACGGAACCTCTGCCTCGGTTTCCACTCCTGTGGAATGAGGACTGAGCCGGCCAGGCTGCTGTGGGGGCTGAGTAAGCCCTGGGAGGTGAGGGCCTGGGCTGCTGTCGGTACAGGGACCCAGCAGCAAAATGGCCATGTATCTGCTCAGAGAAGAGGATCCTTTGTGAATCCACACTGGGCCCAGATGAACGGCTACAGGTGTTGTCTCGCTTTTGCTCTGAACGCTTTAGCCCACCCCGTGCCTTGCCATGCACTCACCAAGGGAGCCCCTGGGCAAGCGCAGGCCACTCCTCGCCCTGAAGAGTGGAGAGGGAGCGGAGTGAGACCCCGGGCTTCCGGGCTCCAGGGCTTCAGCCCCTGAGTCTGGCAGCTGCCCGGTGAGCCATGTGCTGGGGCTTTCGACAGCCAAGCCAGGGCTGGGGAGGAGCCCCCGGCCCTCTCTGCACCCCAGGCCAGCACCTGGAACGCAGGCATGAGGACAGCACAGGCCTCCAGGGCTCCCGGGCGCCCACGAGGAGGCCACACATGTCAGGAGCTGGCACAGGCCCCACGTCCCCCGCCCGAGGGTCATGGCCATTCCCTCCTGATGACCCCAGCTCGGGACACAGGACGCTGTCACCGGGCGCAGGGCTTCATCGTCTCAGGGGAGTGGGCGCTGCAGGAGGCAGAGGAGCCGGCAGTGGTCCAGCCACAGGGCCGGCGGGAGGAGGAACGTCCCACCCGGCCCTCGGCCCTATCAGGACATGGCAGGAGATGGGGTAGGGCTGGGGGCCCTCCCCGAAGGGCCTCCTTGTCCGTCCTCAAACCTCAGTGACCTCGGCTGCTGCTACCCCGTGAGATGACAGTGCGGAAGGACTTATTAAGACCCCTTGCACATCCCACCCGGGCCTGCCCCGCAGCCTTTCCGGCACATTCTCCCCGGTCACTCTCTGGGCCCTGCCCGCCTGGGCCGCCCTGCATGTCCCCAGGAGCTCCTCCCCCACCACGGCTCTCCCCAGAGCACAAGCGCCCCCGCCATGCCCAGGGGGCCTCTTGCTCCAACCACAGTCAGCGTGGACCTTAGTGAACCAGGCACGGCTGCCCCATCTCCCCACGTCCCTGCAAACGGCCCCTGGGCAGACTCAGCCCCCCACGGCTCTTGCCTGAGCCCAGCAACATTGGCAGATGATCCCGGGAGGAGGGTGAGCCTGGAACGACTTTCAGACGCACAGAATCGCCATAGCAGCCTTCCCATGTGGGAAGATGGAGGGGTGCGCTGGGGGGAGGGCTTGCAGAGCAGGGGACAAAAAGAAACCTGACCACAGCCCCACATAGGTCCAGGAGAACCCAGTAAGATACTTCCCCAATCTCTGGCAGAGTCACAGTCTCAGGCCGTTCTGTCCCTTGCGGCTGGGTCCTGCTCCCCAGCCAGGGGAGGAATGACAATGCCCAAACCACCAAGTGGACCCAGCGTGGCCAGAGGGGGACTCGTCCCCACTGTTGGGCCATCTGCTCCCTGCAGAGCTGGGCTGCTGGAGGGTGGGCAGTTATCCCAGGCCCCAGTGACGGGGGCCCAGGGTGAGGAGGACCCAGGACCGGGGGCAGCCAGCCTCACTGGCTCCCAAGCCTGGCTGATGACAGCCCGGGACACACCTCGGGGACAAGGGCGGTTTGCTCAGGATGGTTTTCCTCACGTTTGCTTTTAAAGACTCCACTTTTATCCCCAGGATCGCCTCCAAACATCCATGCCTGGGCACAGCCAGCATGGGGGAGCCCAGTTTCTGCCCTGGGGACCCCCGGACGCTGTGGCTGTGACTCCAGACCCTCGGTGACTCCCACTGTAGGAGACTTCGCCTGCAGCGCTGCACACACACCCAGCGCCCAATGCGGCAGCTGGCTTTGGCGGGGACGCCTGCCCCTGCCCTGCACCTCACAGCCTCGACACCCAGGACAGGCGGGACGCAGTCCCTGCCCAAAGGGGAGCCTCGGGACGGCTACCTACGGCCACTCAAAGCACAGTTCCACTCCCTGACTCCCTGGCGTGGTCCAGCAGCCTCTGAAGGCCCCAGAGGATGCCGCAGGCTCACAGAAAGCGGGGCGTTTCAGCCCTCGGGCCAGCAGGTCCACAGAGCTACTTGCAAGACAGGACTTGAGTGTGGAGGGGCCCGGCCTGCCCTGGGATGGGGGAGCCCTCCATAATAGTTGCTGATTGCAAAGCACAGGCTGTTTCTCAGCCCAGCCGCAAGCTCAGCGCCATGAAGCAGACGCATCTCCTCCGAAATGCCGAGCCCGGCAAGTCGGTGCGCCAGCACATGGGCAATCTGTATCCCTGTCCCAGGCCCGCTCCTGGAAGCCCGGCCTGGAAGCTGCCTTAGGCCAGGCCCGCATGTGGTCAGCAGACGGCCCAGACCCCAGGACAGAAAGACAAGCCATTCTTCCAACGGCAGCAGAAATTCACTTCAGAGGCAAAAATAAATAGACGGATACGCTTTGCCTGCTCCAGGGACAGCGCTGAATCCGGACACGCGCTCTGCCAGCGAGGGCCAAAGAACCGTCCCCACCGCCCTGGCAGATCCATGAAGGTCCTCGGGGCATCTGGGCTGCGAGTCAGCGGGACGCCCCCCACTGCACCCCGCAGAGCCTCCCGCAGAGCCTGGCAACTTCTAGCACTCACAGGGGGTCAGCACTGTTTAAACTCCGCAGCTAATGGTTCAGGAAAACCACCAGCAGGGGTGCGGCTGCCCCGAGCCCGGCCCTGCCGGCTCATCGGACCTCTCTGGAAGGGCAGGGTGGACAGGACCCACAAGGGCCAAGCACGTCCCAGGACCCTCGCCTGCTCCTCTGGGGTGAGGGGGGCAACAGCAACTCTGGCACCTCCCCCGCCCACAGCACCACCTCTGTCCTGCTCAGAACAGCCGCTGCCCACTGCAGCCCTACTGCGTGTCCAGGCACGTGCCAGGTGCTTGTTCACGAGACAAAAGGTCTGTGGACCGTGCACCTGCAGCCACTGCGAAACTCAGACTCACATGCGTGGGGCCAACAGAATAGAGGCCCCAGGTGGCCACACCGTGAGCCGAGACCTAAGGGCACAGCCCCAGACCAGTGGCCGCCACTTCACCGCATGGGGGGAGACCCAGGAGGGGCCCAGGCCATGGAGGGCAGGCAGAAAGGAGCACAGCGAAGCTTTGCGGAAAGCAGGGAGAGATGACCCTCTCACGCCATCCATTCCCACTGGTTCGCTAAGGGTGTCCCAGGGCCCCAGGTGTGCAGGCAGAACACAGGAAAACAGACCCTGGCAGCTGGGCCAGCTGCGCAGGGGGCCAGGAAGGGCCCTCGGCTTCCACAGAGCACTGTGGACAGAGGCGACCATCCACCTCTGCTGGGCATCTGCCCACCCCCGGACTCCGGGGTGCCTGTGCCCCTGGAAGCCAACGGTGTCCCTTCTGAGCTGCAGTGGCCCTCCAACAAACTCCTTGGGATGGCAGGGCAGAGGAATGCCCCGGAGAAGTCACGAGGAGTCAAGACTCGGCTGCTCACATAGCTGGATGCAAAGGCCCCAAGCCAGGGACGGCACTCCTTTGAAAAGGCCACAAGGAAATCTCCCTTCTTGGAGGACAGTGAGACCCTGAGTGGGGGTCCTGGGGGCGTAGACTCCCCCCCTCAGCTCCACGTGGAAGCTTGTCCTCTCAGGCCCCAGGGAGCTGCAGCTCTGCCCTGCACGGCCAGGTAGGTGGCTGGGGCCCTTCAGTGCCAGGTCCTTTGGGGCAGTGCTGGACAGGAGGGGCCTGAGAACCCCTGCGGTGGGCCCCAGTGGGGGCGGGGCGGTCAGACAGGAGGCCCCGGCAGGGCCTTTGCACGCTCTGCAGGCCCCAGGCCCCCGCCACACCGGCAGGCTCCCCACTCCTCCTCCTCCTCCACTCCAGCTTTCCTTTGAGACAGCACAGGACTGGTTTGCTGTTTGAGAGAGACCGCTAACCGGCCCCACTGGGGAATCATCTTTCAAAACTAAATTCATCTCGGCTGGCGCCCTGACCCTCTCTTCCTGCCCATTCTGGCACCGAATTCCCTCTCCCACAGCCCAGAGCGCACGTGTGGAACACACAGGCCAACTCCGTCCTGCTCCCCGTCTGGGCACAGCCCGCCCTGCGAAGGCCCCCAGACCCCGGCAGGCTGGGGAGGGAAAGAGGAACACGCTGCTCGCTCAGCCTCCTCCAAGCCGGCTGCGGAGCGGGACCCTGCCCGGAAAGGGGCCCAGATTCCTCACCTCTCCCGAAGTTCAGCATCTGCCCGAGCCTGCAAGACCCACCCACGTCGCAGAACAGAGAAGGGGGCGAGGAGGGGCGAGGAGGCCAGGGGCCCCGCCCGCCACAGAAGGGCCCCAGACCCAACCCTAGAACCCTGTGTCTCAGCCACCCCCTCCCCAGTTAAAGCAAAGAGCCCATTGTTCTGGGCTCCAGGGGACAAAGCCTTGAGCCGGGTCCCGGTGGGCCGCCCGGGGCCGGGGGCTCCACGCCCCGCCGAGCCCTCCCAGCTCCCCTACTCACATGCCGGGCTGCAGCGGGGGCAGCGGCGCGCGGGCCGGCACGGTGGGGAGCAGCAGCAGCAGCAGCAGCAGCAGCGCCGGGGCCACCGCACGCCCCGCCGCCTTCGCCTCCGCTCGGACAGGCATCGCGCGCGGCCCCGCGCCGGGTCCCTGCTCCGGCCCCGGCTCACAGGCGGCCCCGGCGGCCGCTCGGAGCCTCCGCCTCCTCGCGCGCCATGGCCGGGAGTCGCACGGGGCGCAGCCACAGGTGCCCGAGATCGCTGCAGGTGCGGAGGGCCGGGCCTCCCGCCTGCGCCCGAAGTGGCAGAGCCGAGACCTGCGCGCCTGGCTCCAGCCCGCGGGACACTCGCCTGGGGCGGTGAGCGCGGAGAGCTGGAAAGGCCGCCCCGCCCCCGGCACGCCCCCAGCCCGGACCCCAGCCCCGGCCCCGCCCCCGGCACACCTTTGGCCCCGCCTTCTCCCCGCAGCGCCCCGCCCCCATCTCCTCTCGGGTCGCGTCCAGACCCCGCACTCCAGCTAAGGCCCCCGCTCCCAGCCCCGCCCCGGCTCCCGGCCCCACCTACACCTTCCCTGTGTCCACCCCCTCCTCCAGACCCCTGCGAGGACGGCTCATTTCAGGCTGAAAGTCACAAGTCCCGACCAAACCAGGCGGGGCGGAGTGCCAGGAACGTGTTCCGCGCACCCCTAACACGCAGCTCTCAGCGGGACGCACCCAGTCCTGGACCTGGGAGACAGTCCTCAGCCTTCCTTCTCAAGTCCCACAGGGAAGCCAGCCTGGGCTCGTCCACCCTCACCCCTACCACCTCATCCCCTCCCTCCCTCCCTGGGCCAGGCTGGGGGTGGTTTTGGGGAAGAGGGTGGGCAGCCTCTGCCGCCCCCTTCTTGGCACCAACATTGCTGGTCCTCGACCACCTCCTGGGCATTTTTGTTTTTATTTCTGTGCAGAGTGTTGTTGCACAGCGGCCTGGAGTGGGTAGGTGTGGGGGTCCCACCGGCTGCAGACTGGGGAGGGGTGCCCTGCAGGCCCAGAGGCCCCAGCAAGGGCGTCTGGACAAGCCTCCTTGCTCGGAATTGACTTGCTCCAGGGCAGGGCCAGGTCTGGTCCGAGGGGCTGGACGAGGGGTCCCTGGGGTCCTCACCAGCCACTCAGAAGTAGCCTTTCTGGAAGCACAGAGGGAGGCCCAGTCCAGGTGGGACCAGATGGGGGCCAGGAGCCAGGCCTGCATGGGCCTGCATTAGCCACGTGGAGGGGAGCCCCTCCTGCCCCCGCTGCAGAGCCCACCGGCCATCAGCCCCCTACAACCTCCTCCCCGCCACTGCATAGGGCCTGAGTGGGGGAGGCTCAGGATCCCCTGCTCCCAACAGCACTGGAGGGAGCCCCTGGCTGGGAGGGGCTTGAGAAGTGTCCAGATGCCACAGGGTACCCCCTCAAGACACACAAGCTACCTGTGCCCTCCACCCTGCCTGGAGGGTCACAGTCATTTTAGGGGAAGCTCCCTGTCAGGCCAGTCTGCATTATTCCTGCTTTATGGGGGGCACCCCAGGTCACCCCGCTTGTAAACTGCAGATCTGGGACTGAGCACGGGGCCTCTGCTTAGCCCTGCACTGCGCAGCTTGTGAGTCATAGGCAACCCTGAAGGGCACACAACGGCCAGGCGTCCCACGGGGTCACCTGGAACGCCAAACCCAGGTTGGCGCCTGGCGTGCTGAGGCTCCAAACTCTACTGCCCGCCCGTCCTTGGAATCAGGGCGCAGGGCCCGGCCCACGCTGAGACTCCAGTCCCACTCTCCTCCCTGAAGCACTGGCCTCCCCAGAGAACCTCCCACCCCCTCCTCCGCGCGGGACCGTCCTGCGGGTGTTGGTGCAGATTTGTGAGCGTCTCCTCGTGCCGAGCACCACGCACCGGTTTCCCATCTCCACGTCTTATCCTTCCTCTTCCAGAGCCCGCGAGTGTGCACCCAGTGACTGGATTAGCACCTTCAAACAGTCCACCCTGCTCTGCTGAACTCCATCCTGCCCCGGATGACTCATTGTTTCAGAAAACTCTCTAGCTTATCGGAGGAAGAAGGAAAGAATTTGGATGGATCCTGTGGGTTGGGAAGGCGGTCTCTGGCCAGGGGAGGATTCAGGTTTTTGTGTGAGACATAGAATCAGGGGGCCCTCTGGACGAAAAGCAGCACAACGTAAGTGATTTTGCTGATTTTACAAAACTACATGACCCTGTGTGTGCATTTCCGGGCCTCACTCTATGCCTCCACCTTAAGGGCCCCTGATGTACGAGCTTTACCAGACTCACAGGGTTCTGCTTCCGTGAGCCCGACTGTGCCAGGCACTGAGACCAGCTGCTGGGTGAAGAGTACCAGGCAGGTGCGAGGCCAGCAAGCAGGCAGAAGAGCACAGGTGCTTCCTGCAGGAGGTCACCCTGGCATAGGACACCTGTTCTGCCCCTCAGGCATGCACAGCCTCCCCCACACCGTCCACTGCGGCTGCCCGTGGTCTTCCCTCCAGCCACATGCAGAGCCTGTGACCCAGGCACAGGTGTGGACAGGTGAAAACCACCACGCAGAGCCCCCCTCAAAGCAAAGCCCCTCACACAGGCAGGTGCAGGTGGGCAGGCCCTAAATCTCACCCCCTGCCCCCCTAAGCCCATCACCTCTGCCCAGCCTGGCACCCGAGGGCAGGAGCAAGAGCCAGGCATCTAAATGGGAAGTGTGTCCTTTTGCACACGTGATCGACCAGCCACGGAAGAGGGTGCTTAGACTTCATATTTGAAAAAAGCAATCCGACGGTATGAACGTGTTGTTCAATACACTTCTACGTGTGGGTGTAGCTCACAATAAACAAGTTTTCTTTTGCAGTAATCAAACTAAACAGCATAGTAAATATTCTCTAAGAGCTATCCGTCTTTGTCCATTTTCATAATGAGCACTTAGCTTAAAGAGTTCTCTAATGTTTTGTTCTTTCTTGTTTACTGAATTTTTGGCATTTATTTATTTCATACAGAATTCACCCTGCTGTGTGCCGTTAGGGAGGATCTGACTAGTTAGCAGCCGGCTGTTCAGGTTCACGGCCAACCTGCTCCCCCTGCTGTGAGACAGCATTTCAACCAAGCTAGTCCCAAATGGGATCTGTCTCCGGGTGTCCCCACCAGTTCCGGTTCTTACTTCAGCCCCACATAGTTTCGCTGTTTTCCTTGCACCGCTGGAGCGAGACGGAAGCCCCTGCATGGTGATTGCGACGGCCCCCGTGCTGACACCACGCTTCGGTGACTGCCCAGCAAGGGCCTCCCCAGCACTCCTGCTCCCCCCATACACCAATTGCGTGGGTGATTCTCGGCCATCGTTCTTACAAAGGAGTTCTGCGGTCACTATACCCAGTTCCTTCAAAGTTGCATTGGACTTTTAATTGCAGTCGCCTTAAACATATGCATTAGTTTCAGCGGCACTGGCATCCTCACGGGAAGCACACTTCGGGAAGGGCAGGGACCCTAGCAGGAGGCGTGCTTTCCGGCTGAAGGCGTGCTTTCCGGCTCCTTCCGGCTGAAGGAGCGGCAGGAGAGAGAGGGGCATGGCCCCCTGTGCCCCCACACCAGAGCCATCGGGCCTCAGCATTGTCTTCTTCCTAAGTGGCAGCATGTCGTGGCTTTAGATGCCCGTTGGTGACAGCTGCAGCTCAGGACGGGCCCGTGGCCCACCTCGGGTTCTAGTCCCAGCCCCAGCTCCCGCCCCAAAAGCCTTGAGCGAAACTGTAGCCAAACATCCTGATTCCGTCTTTAGGACTTGCTGACTCCTCTTCCAAGGTACAGACACGATCTGGTCGTCACAACCCTGAGCATTCGTGGGGCGTCTGACCCCTGACGTATGACGCCCACACCCAGGCCCGGAAGAGGCCCCCAGCCGTGGTGACTGGCGGGGGGGCTGTGGCCCCCACACCGCACATGCCTCCCTGTCCAGGGGTCTCAGGCCCTCCCTCCCTTCTTCATCCGGCCCTGCAGGACACCCGGATGGATCGCCACTCCTGGGTCACACACGGAATCAGCTCGGTTGGGAGCCCCACCCCAAACAGACGTGAGGAGTAGACAGGCTTCCCCTTTTACACCCGGCAAACGATCACCCTAGCTCACCTGAAAAGCATTATTAAAAGACACTACTTTTCAATGTTCTCCTCTCGTTCTCTGTCGGAGATAATAAAAACCGCCTTTGGACTGAAGGAAGCCACGTGTGGGGGAAGAGGACCCAAACCTCGGGCGTGGCGGGTAATTCCCAGCGCTAATGCGCAAAGCACACTGCGCCCACCCCCAGGTCGCTGGCTGCTGGGCGGCCTCCCCTCCAGCCCACTGGGACCCCTCTGAGGGGGGAGGAGGACCCCACAGACAGGAATTCAAAGCATCCTTTGAAACTCCCTGAACCAACAGGTCTGTCTGTCAATCCAAGAAAAAACTCCAGAATCGTGTCTGAATTTTTGCAGACACTTCTCCCGCCAGGAGTCGGAGAGAACGAGTAAACGCAGAAGGTGTCTTCAGCCCCTCGGTGCACGGGGCCCACGGCAGCCTTTGAGGTCACTCCGCGAGGCAGCACCTCGCCAACTCCTGCCACCGGCCACGCTAAACTCCAGCAGCGCCCTGCGAGCGACAGTGGGAACAGGGGGTGTTCCAGGGACAGCAAAGCATTGATCGCACCTGAACCCAGCACCAGAGTCCTAAGTGGTTCCTCGAGAAGGCTTCGGTGGCTGAAGTTCATTCTAAGTTTTCTCTCTTTCTTTCTTTTATTTATTTATTTTTTGAGACAGAGTCTCACTTTGTTGCCCAGGCTAGAGTGAGTGCCGTGGCGTCAGCCTAGCTCACAGCAACCTCAAACTCCTGGGCTCAAGCAATCCTTCTGCCTCAGCCTCCCGAGTAGCTGGGACTACAGGCATGCGCCACCATGCCCGGCTAATTTTATTTTATATATATTAGTTGGCCAATTAATTTCTTTCTATTTATAGTAGAGACGGGGTCTAGCTCTTGCTCAGGCTGGTTTCAAACTCCTGACCTTGAACGATCCGCCCGCCTCGGCCTCCCAGAGTGCTAGGATTACAGGCGTGAGCCACCGCGCCCGGCCTGAAGTTCATTCTAAACCTCCAGATTTGCCCCAGAAGAGAAACTAAGGCGAAAGGACCCATCTCTATGGCAAACTCAAAGTGGGCTGTGTGACACGGCCTGGGGCGTGACCTGGGTCACAGCCCAGCCTGTCCTGCCCGGCCGCTGGCCTGGGTGACCTCCCCACACCTTCCCGTGCCTCGGGTACCTGGCGGGTGCAGTGGGCACAGCACAGCAGCCTCGGAAGCTGGTTCTTGCTCTGCATTTGCACCAGCAACCTGCCGGATCTTGTGACCAGGTGACAGCTGAACACGCAGGCCTTCACCTGTCCCCCCAGCCCTGCCCTGCACCTTGTCGCAGCGCCACGGACGGAGTGAAGGTGCTTTACCTCACCTGCACCCCTGAGAGCAGGAACATTCCGCACAGCAGTGCCGGGTGTTGGGGACACAGCCATGTATGGGTTGAAGAGGGTCCCCCAAAGAGACATGTCCCCGTCCTAACCCCCAGTACCTGTGAATGTGAACTTATTTGGAGAAAGGGTCTTTGCAGACATAATGAAGTATGGGAGGGAGGTTTGGGGACAGGCTGTGTGCAGGTGGGAGATTTGGGGGCAGGCTGTGTGCAGGTGGACCAGGGATCCTGGGGATGTGTCCCCAGGGGAAGAGTCCAAGGATTGCCAGGAGCCACCAGAAACTGGGTGAAAGGCCTGGGACAGATTCTCCCCGGGAGCTTCAAGAAGGAACCAACCCGGCTGGTACCGTGATGAAGGAACCAACCCGGCTGGCACCGTGATCCCACACTCCTGGCCTCAGGAATGTGGGGGGATCAGTTTCTGTGGTTTTAGCCACTCCACCTGTGGTCATCTGCCTCGGCAGCCACAGGCAAGTCCCGCGAGCTGGGAAGGAACAGGTCAGTGCCTGTCCTCGGGGAGCCCCCGGCCCAGACAGGAGGCAGCAGCACAGGGAGACGCCATGCCCGGGCACAGCGCCTCACGGGCCACGTCTGCAGTGTCCACGTGCAGGCGCAGACGGGGCCTCTGCCGGAGCTGAGCCTGGGGGTGTGGAGCTCTCCCGGGGACGAGCTGATGCCGTGCAGCCCCGGCACGTCTCAGAGACGGGAGATGCGTGCCCACCCTCGCCCCTCCTGCCATGACAACCAGGACTGACGCGCCAGTCCCGGGCAGCACCCTTGCCAAGCTCTCCTGGTCCCCAAACTTAACCTGACGTCCCCCAGCCTCCTCCCAGCTCCCAATCAACCAAGGGAAGCCCGGTTTTTGAGGCCGGCCCTTCCCGCTGGAGCATACGGACGCCGCCGCGGCCGGCTGGTGGCAGAGAGACCACCCCGGCCCCCAGGCCCAACCAGGAGAGTGGCAGGTGGGAGGCAGAGCAAAACCATCCCCCTGCTTGGCTGCAGGACGTGTAGAAAGTTATCAAAACAGCTCAGTCTTGGCCAGGAGTGGTGGCACATGCCTGTAATCCCGGGACTTTGGGAGGCTGAGGAAGAAAGATTGCTTGAGCCCAGGAGTGTGAGGCTGCAGTGAGCTACGATGACACCACGGCACTCCAGCCCAGGTGACAGAGCGAGGCCCTGGTCTCTCCTGTTCTTGAGTTTTGCTGGAAGGCCGCCCCTGCATCTGCAAGGCCCACACCCTGTCGACAGGGAAGGCTGTTGCTTTGTGTGAGTGGCCTCTGCTCTGTTGTGACTCGCCGTACACCCTCTGAGTGCTCAGGACAGCGAGCTGGGAGCCCGGCATGCAGCCCTGGGCCCCGGAGTCCTAACCAGCTCCGTGGAGAAGGGAGAGGCCGGGAACAGGGAGAGGCCGGCACCGCCCACGGCTGTGTCTGGAAGGTGAGCTCCCACCCGGGAGCGGGAATACCCTCCACGCCCCGCGAGGGCTCTGACTAGGGGCGGGCGTGGGCACCTCCAGGACCTGGCGGCACTGGGGGCCTCCCCGGGGCTCCCGTTTGGCACGTACGTGGCCCCCTGACCCACATGGCCACCAGAGACACAGGTCAAAGGTGGAGCCCACCGACTGTAAAATGCTAACGCACAACATGCAGAACGTCCCAGCTGCAACTGCAGTAGCAGGAAGACAAGTAAGGATGTCCTCTGGGGCTTAGGGACAGGCCACTTGTCCCTGATCGGGTGGCCACGCGTGGGCGGTGCTGCCACCTGCCGGCCGGGAAGCTCACTGCCTCGTTAGAGCCCCAAGAAGTCAAAGACGCGAGGGGGGGGGGCGCGTTCCCGGGACTGCATAGCCAGACCCCGTCACAGGCCTCCGCCCTGCCCTGGACCAGCGTGAGCGCGGAGCGCGGCCCTCCCGGCTGGAGCTTGCTCCGGTCCGCACATGGATAACACACCTGTCACGGGTGGAACTGTGTCCCCCGAAAAGGTACGTGCAAGCCTTAACCCCAGTACTTGTGAATGTGGCCTTAGTTGGAAATAGGGTCTTTGAGGTGGGCCCGCATCCAACGACTGGCATCCTTGTAAAAAGAAACAGAGACCTGGGAGGAGAAGACAGCGGTGAAGGGGAGGCAGACATCAGAGCGTCGGATCTACCCGCCAAGGGGCGCCGGGCGTTGCTGTCAGACATCAGGAGCTGGTCAAGGAGGGGAAGAGGCTCCCCCAGGGGGGTCAGAGGGAGCCGGCCCGGCCCACACCTTGATTTTGGACTTCTGGCCCCCAGAGCTGCGAGAGAATGAACTTCTGTTGCCTTAAACCAACAGGTTTGGGGTGCGTTGCCATGGCAGCCCAGGACGCCGGCATCAAGAGTGCCATCGCTCCTTGTCTCATATGCACCGACCACCTGCCCCTCCTGCCGCCTCTCAGATGCTCAGAAGCCCAGGTCGCTCCCCACACCGCTGGTCAGTGGGCCTGGCGCCTCCTGGGAGACCCGCGTCCCCTCCCGGGGCAGCCCGTCCCACGGCCACCACCCCGCGCTGTGCCCTTCAGCCCCCGCTCCCTCATGTTCTCCCTTCCTCCTTCTCCCTCTCGCCGCCCCTCCACACACGCGCTGCCCACGGCTCCCGCTGTCAGATCCTCGTCCCACCACCGCTCAGCCCCCCCGAGGGCCTCCGTCCTTCCTTCCTCCCTGTTCTCCGTCCGCTCCAGCCCCCATGGGTCTGCTGTCACCTCCAGCCAGACTGGACGCCTCGGCCCACGGTCCCCACGGTGGAAGACCTCCCCAGCGGCTGTCCCCGGTCTTGCCGGGTGTGCCCTGACGCTGTCCCCCGGGCCGCTTCTCAGGCCTGCGTCCGCACGGGGCATCCTCGTGGGGGTGACGTCTCCCCCTGGGACAGAGCCCACGCCTGCCCGCAGGCTCCAGGGCCCCCTGTCACACACTGGCTGTGGGCGCAGCACCCATCGGGGCACACCTGTGGGGACTGGGGCTGGGGGACACTCAGCCGCCGCTTTCCCGCGAGCCGTGGTCTTTCCTCTCTGACCTGGGGGCTTCTGTGCAACTGCAGCAGGCCGGCCCGTCTGCTGCTAGTGGGGCAGCCCCTGTGGGACCTTGGTGTCCCTTTTCTCCCTTAGTGGCCACAGCTACCCAGAGTCGCCCCATCTAGCCCAGCCGGGCTTGGTTTCTGCCACTCCCTCCAGCTGTCATGTGGGAGGCTACGCCGCAAACCTCCCTGGGGGGTTCTGGCTGCTGAGTAGCCCCCACATCCGTCCCGGATGAGCTCCCCGCTAGTTTCTCACCCCTATTCTAACCGTCTGTTTTTACCAAAACCCCCACGCCCTCCCCACCCCAGGGCTGCTCCTTCCCTCCCACCTGAGCCCCTCTCACCTATCTGCGCCCAGGCCCATGGCTCTTCACCATGCCCCCGAGCAGAGGGGTCTGTCCCCCTGCCCAAAGCTGCCCCCTGGACCTCAGCCCTCCTCCCCTCGGCCTGTTCTCCCCCACAGGCTGTGGGCACCTCCGTGAACCGTGCCGTGCAGGGCACAGACGTTCTGCTTCCCGTACGAACACTGACGCTGGCCTTGGCGGGTCCTCTCTGGGCACGTCTGCTCATCGGAGCCTCATGACAGACCGTGATCCGGGCTCCTGCTTTTCCTGCCTCCGCATGGGGGCAGGGGACAGGAAGGCCGGGGAAGGGATCAAGAGCTACCACATGCACACGCACACACACACACACACACACACACACGCACATGCACATGCACATGCACACGCACACGTGGGTGAGTCAGAGCACAGCCCACAGGCCCTGCCAGGCCCTGCTGTGACCCGCAAAGCAGACTCGGCCCAGGGGCTGGCTGTCCCCAACACCTTGGCCCACAGACAACTCGGGGCCTCCCCCATGTTTCGGGAAAACCCCGGGACGGTGTAGAGCAACCTCCCTCCCAGATGAGATGGTGACGAGAGATCCAAGGATGGGTCAGACAAGTCCAGCTTGGCGGACAGATGAGTTTATCGGAGGCTACTCGCACGGGGCCGTCACTCGGGGTGGCACGGGACTTCTGCGAGGAGTAGAATCCATGCGGCCTACCTGTTGTGGTGCCTTAAATTTCTTTTCATCGAATGACGTGGAGTTTTCCCCACGTCACTGCGTGTGTACAGGCCACACATTGAGCATGTGTGACATACCCACCATGCATCCTCATACGACCCTTGTTGCGTTAATGACAGTAAGATCTCTCTCTAGGTGGAGCTTTCAGTGGTGAAGTGAGCTGCAGGCCACAGTAGCAGAGCTGGAGGGTTAGAAGTCGTCTCAACTGAGGACAAGGGCGACGTTATGGTGTCCTCGGGGCCTTGTGGGTGGTTCTCCTTCCGTGTTTTGTGTTTATCTTAAGCCACTGCTTGTTTTTTTTTTGAGACAGAGTCTCACTCTGTTGTCTGGGCTACAGTGCTGTGGCATCAGCCTAGCTCCCAGCAACCTCAGACTCCTGGGCTCAAGCGATCCTTCTGCTCAGCCTCCCGAGTAGCTGGGATACAGGAAGGCCGATAATTTTCATATATATATTAGTTTACAGCTAATTTTACATTATTTAATAGAGACGGGGGTCTTGCAGTTGCTCAGGCTGCTCCTGAGCTCAAGTGATCCTCCCGCCTGGGCCTCCCAGAGTGCTGGGATTACAGGCAGGCGAGCCACCGCACCCGGCCATTGCTTTTCCATCAACCCTTAGGTGTCAGCTTGTCCCAGTGTGGGCACCTCTTTCGTTTCCCTAACCGTCCCAGACACCTCCTGAAGCCACCCCCTGAGCTCCCTCCATCGCTGCTGTTCCGTCTCTCCTCCCCCGACTCCCCACCCTGCTGAGACGCCCTTGATTGAAGCCGCCTCCAAGCCCGGCTTCTCCCCTCGTCATCTCATCACAGCAAGTAAGTAGACCGTGTCGGTGTGTGGGAGCAAGCGGCGAGCGTCCAGGCAAGGCAGAAGCTCTCCCCCGTGTCTGACCCTCCCTGGAGCCACTGGTGCAGGGACATCAGGTGGTGGCTGGGGCACAGTCGCTGGCCTCTGAAAGTCCCAGGTGAAAGTCTTGGCCCTTTGTTGATACGTGTGACCTTTGCAAAATGACAACCTCCCTGGGGTCCAGCTTTCCCCTGGGTTAAAGGGGGCGGTACTGGCCTCCACCCATGCACGTGCTGGGGGCAAAGGCAGTGTGTGCAGCATGCCCGGCTCTTAGGAGCTACTCGAGGAACAGCATACTCAGAACTGGCCCCCAGACCACTCTGAACGGGCACCAGGCAGGACGCTAGGCACATCACAGGCGTTGACTCATGCCATCCTGCCGACTGCCACAGGAAGCTGGCTTTATGATATCTCCACGCAACAGACAAGGAAACTGAGGCACAGAGAGCTGAAGTGTCCAAGTCCGTGTGGACAAGAGCACAGGAACTGGGATTCAAACCCAGGAGGTCTGGCTCCCAGGTCTACACTCACAGCTGCCACTATCGCTGGGTCCCCAGTCCTGCTCCTTAGTGAAGGGGGCCTGAGAGAGGGACACAGACACCCAGAGCCCAGCGGGGCCAGGGGCTCCACAGGAAGCCCCAATCCAGGCCCACCCAGCACAGCCTGGACAGAACACAGAAGAGAGGTTTCCTCCCCCATGGGGACAGGTCTCAGAGCAGGAGTGACACGTGCCCTGGTCCATAGAAGGTAGCAGCAGCTGTCCTCAGTCCCACCCCGTCTATCCACACATTTGCACACTCACTTGGCACTGCACCACTGTGTACATTTGCACACTCACTTGACACTCTTAGTTTCCAGAAAGCAAAGTACTAAAGCTATGTCAACGTCTGTGCTATTTTAGAGCCTCCTGTTTCTGTCGAGGAGAGCAGTGAGCGGCTGCCCAGGCATTGTCCACAAACCAGGGCAAGAGTCTGCTCAGGCCAGGAGGGGCTCTTCTCATCCCACAGCTGTGCCAGCTGTGCGGCCCCAGGCACTCACCACAACTCTCCAGACCTGTTTCTTCCACTGTGGCACGTGCACCACAGCGGGTTCACACCCTGGGCTGTTGTGAAGTGTAAATGGGACTGTGAAAGTGGCTACAAGGCCCAACATGCCACTCTTACCTAGCTCCACGAACCTTCCCAACAAATACAGCTCGTAACACACACACACACACACACACACACACACACACACACACACACACAGTAGAATGACCCAGTGCACACGGAATGGCAGAGCAAAGAACAGTGAGTGAGCTCTGGTGAATGGCAAAATGTCTCCTGGGGAAGTGAGTTTTAAACCAGGTGTTGGAGGTGAACACAGCAGAGGTAGGGCAACGTGGCCCGGTAGAGACAGCAGGACTCAGAAGTGGACAAGTAAGGCCAGGCATGGCTGGGATCACAGGCTCAGGCCTGTGATTCCAGCAGTCTTGGAGGCCAGGATTTCAAGACCAGCCTGAGAAAGATAGAGACCCCGTCTCTACAAAAATATAAAAATTACCCAGGTTTGGTGGTGCCTATGGTTCCAGCTACTTGGGAGGCTGAGGCAAGAGGATTGCTTGGGCCCAAGAGTTTGAGGTTGCAGCGAGCTACGATGACACCACTGCCCTCTACCCAGTGTGACAGAGTGAGACCCTGTCTCAAAAAAAGTGAGTGGTTGAGGACCTGTAAACTGTCCTCGATGTACAGCCTTCGGGTCCCAACAGGGCGGTGCTGAGGGGGATGGCAATGAGGCCCTGGCAGGGATGGCAAAGCCCAGGGCCTGGGGTAGCTCCTGAGCAGATCACTCACCTGGGAAGCACAGGTGGCATTCTAGTGGCGCCCCCAGGACAAGAGCAGGGCCCAGGAGACATGCCAAGAATGAATTTTATCTCAAACCCTTGATAGTGTCACCTTGGCAAGTTACCAACCCTGTGCCTCAGTGTCCCCTTCTGACACACACGGTAGTGACAGGGCTACTTCCTAAAGTGGCTTCCAGAACTCAATGCATGTCTGTATTTAGCACAGCGATGGGCCCAGAGCAAAAAGCTAAATCCACCTAAACTCCACCATTAAAATGGTTGTTCCTCATCAACTGCCTTGTTTGGAAGCAGTGGGTCAGGCAAAGTGCTCTCTGGAGAGAGAGGAGCTGTCAGTGTGTCAACATGTGACTGCCAGGACACTGGGGAAGCACTTTCCTGCTGGCTCCTGGGAGGTGCCCACTGTCCCACAGACGCCCCAGCCCACCACTGCACGGGGGGGGGGGCACACACCTATGCACTCCTGGACCTGCACACACTCTGACCTGCACATGGTGGACCTGCACACACACCTGGATCTGCACACACTCAGACCTGCACACACACCTCAATCTGCACACATCTCAACCTGCACACGCACCTGACCTGCACACACAGCTCAACCTGCACACACACTCCGACCTGCACATGCACCTCAACCTGCACACACTCCCCCAAACTGCACACGCACTCCGACCTGCACACACCCGACATGCACACTTCGAACTGCACACACCCGACATGCACACTCCGACCTGCACACACCCGACATGCACACCCCGACCTGCACACGCACCTGACCTGCACACGCACCTGACCTGCACACGCACCTGACCTGCACACGCACCTGACCTGCACACACTCCCACCTGCACACACCCGACATGCACACTCCCACCTGCACACATACTCCGACCTGCACACGCACCTGACCTGCACACACTCCCACCTGCACACGCCCGACATGCACACTCCGACCTGCACACACCTGACCTGCACACACTCCCACCTGCACACACCCGACATGCAGACTCCCACCTGCACACGCCCGACATGCACACTCCGACCTGCACACACCTGACCTGCACACTGCGACCTGCACACACCCAACGCGCTCCGGTTCCCGGTTCCCGACGCGCACACGCCCCCGGCCCGCGCTACGGAGGGCGGAAGGGGACACTGGGCACAGCGAGCGTGTGGGAGCACCCACGAGAAGGCCGGCGGTCGCCCCTTCCAGGGTGGGCACCCCCTTCCACGCGGGCCAGGAGCACTGACCGCAGCACCTGCTCCTTCCACCCCCCTCCGCGTCTCCTGGCAACCGACCTCAGCCCCGCCCCTTCCGCGTTTTTGTAAACAGGAAGTGGGCCTGCGCACAGAGGCCACTTCCGGCGCTGCCAGGGGCGGGCGCGATTGTGAAGGGCGGCGGGGCGGAGCCAATCGCGCAGGATGGAAGGAGGAGAACCAATCCCGAGGGCCGGCGGGCGCCGGCGGGGGTGGGTCCAGGGGCGGGGCCTGTGGAGAGGAGCCAATCGCAGCGGCCCGTGAGGCGGGGCGGGGTGGGGCCGGGGCGCGGCCGGGCGGTGGCTGCGGCGACGGCTGCCGCGTCTGGGTCGGGGTCGGAAACCGCGGCCGGCAGGGCGACCCGGGCGGGCACGGCGATGCTGCAGCTGCGGGACTCGGTGGACTCGGCGGGCACGAGCCCCACGGCGCTGCTGGCGGCCGGCGAGGACGCGGGGGCGGGCGGCGGCGCGGGCGGGGGTCTGCCGGGGGCGGGCACGCCGCTCCGCCAGACGCTGTGGCCGCTCAGCATCCACGAGCCCACGCGCCGCGCCCGCGTCAAGGAGTACTTCGTGTTCCGGGTGAGCGCCGGGCCGGGGCTGGCCGGGGCCGGGGGCCGGGGCGGGGGAGGGCGGCAGGGAGGGGGCGGGGCGGCCCCGCGGACCGTGACCTCTGCCCTCGCCCAGCCCGGCACCATCGAGCAGGCGGTGGAGGAGATCCGCGTGGTGGTCCGGCCCGTGGAGGACGGCGAGATCCAGGGGGTGTGGCTGCTGACCGAGTAAGCCGGGGCTGCCCGCCGCCCTTGGGGAAACCGCCCCGAGGCCCCGCCCGCGGCCACCTTGCTGGGACCTCCAGGCGGGAGGGGCTCCCTGGGAGCCAGGGTGCACTCGCTTGCTTGCAGCGCGGGGTGTCCCCACGTGTCCCTGCTGTCGCCTTGCTGGGAGGACGTGCCGGCTGGCCTTGGCCTCGGCGGGTGGGCCTTGGGGTGGCTGACCAGACACGGCCTCTTGGACTGAGGCCACTCTCTGCTTCCAGGGTGGACCACTGGAACAATGAGAAGGAGCGGCTGGTGCTGGTCACGGAGCAGTCGATGCTTATCTGCAAGTATGACTTCATCAGTCTGCAGTGCCAGCAGGTGGTCCGCATAGCGCTCAACGCAGTAGACACCATCTCCTACGGGGAATTCCAGTTTCCTCCTAAATCGCTCAACAAGTGAGTCTGCTCGGACAGTCCAGTGCTGCTGGACTTCAGGGCCAGAGAAGACCGTGTAATGCAACCCTTTTAAATCAGCCCCCATGTGGTGTTCTTGTATCTGCCATTATCTAGAAACATAAAGACCTTGACTTCAAAAATCAATGGGACGTTCCTTAAAATAGAAGCAAGTGACTTCTGGGCAGTTGAGTGCATTAAAAGGAATTCTGGCTAAAAGACGGCAGTTAGGCTTGTAGTAAAAATGACTCACATGAGTTAAGGATCTATCAAAGTATGACTCAATATGTTAAAAGCGAACTAATATAGTCTTCAGGTAGGGGCCAAACTCTGCATCTTATCCAGCCAGGAAAGGATTATGTGGCATGTCAGGTCCTACTGGGGTTACATTTTAAAAGAGAAAAGTAGAGTGCCCCTTTAATGTATAGATGTCACTAAAAGTTAGATAAATTTGAAAATATTGAATGGCCAACTTTCAAGAGTTGAACTCCCTCTGGGAGAATTTTCTGAAATATGAGAAACCCAGACACAAGTAAACTTTAAAACTTTTTGATGTAGAAATTTGGATAGGGAATTCAGAGAGCTGAGCTAACATGAGTAAAAACTTTAACCAACATTTAATATGACGTTAAGGAAAAGGAGGCCGGGTGCTCACGCCTGTAATCCCAGCACTCTAGGAAGCCAAGGTGTGAGGATCACTTGAGCACAGGAGTTTGAGATCAGCCTAGGCAAGTGTGAGACCTTGTCTCTACTAAAGACAGGAAAACTTAGCTGGGTGTGGTGGTACGTGTCTGTAGTCCCAGCTACTTGGGAGGCTGAGGCAGGAGGATCGTGTGAGCCCAGGAGTGTGAGGTTGCTGTGAGCTAGGCTGCACTCTAGCCAGGGCAACAGAGCAAGACCTTATCTCAAAAAAAAGGAAAGTTGCAAAAAATGTCACTCATTGGCCTAGCCTATCTATAATGTATTCCTATTAATTTTTAATGATCATGTAAAGATTGTTTAGTATGACCAAAACAATGTACTTAAGAATATAGTAATTAAAGCAATTGTTAGTGGAGACTGCAGTTACTGTTAAAATCCACAAGCCATTTCAGTTGTGAAGTGTCAGGTACTTTCTTTAAAACGGTGAACTGCTTTTTACTGCTATAGCCTCGCGACTGACGAGACTGCCCATGACAGTGCTGTGCCTGCCGTGTTAAGTCTGGCTATTTCTTCTGATTTGCCAGGCGAGAAGGGTTTGGGATTCGGATTCAGTGGGACAAGCAAAGTCGCCCTTCCTTCATAAACAGATGGAATCCATGGTCCACAAATGTACCCTACACCACTTTCATAGAACACCCGATGGCGGGTGCCGATGAGAAGACAGCATCTCTGTGCCAGGTGAGTAGACAGACCCGCAGCGGCCACACTGCCCAGTAGTGACAGAAACGTTCTAGATGTGCGCTGTCCAGTAAGGTGGCCACACATAACACTGGACACTTTAAATGTGGCTAGTAACAATGAGGACATAAACTTGGCAATTTTCAAAAATTTTAGTTAATTTTTATTTACTGCTGGTGAGCACAGCTCTGTGCGATGACCCCTTGCTGCTGGCGATGCTCTTGGAGAAGGGCCAGGTGGGCTTCAGGAAATGGCAGCAGACCCCCAGGCTGTGCCACAAGGCCATTAGCCTCGCTGGGTGGGTGGTGCACACCTGTAGTCCCAGCTGCTCAGAGGCTGAGGTGGAAGGATCACATGAGCCTGGAGTTGAAGGCTGCAGTGAGCTATGATCTTGCCACTACACTCCAGCCCAGGTGACAGAGCAAGGCCCTGTCTCTAAAAACATTAAGTAAAAAGAACAATCAGTCTGGATGCTCACCGGGAGCGGAGGCCTGGGGCCAGCGCTGGAGCAGAGTCCAGAGCTGGGTGGTCCTCCACTCACCCACTGTGTGCCTTGGCCCAGTCCCTAACCTGGGAGGCTGTGATAAGGACTAAGTAGGTTAAGTTGGCAAAACCGCTTAGATCTGTAGATAGTGAGGGCTCCGCAAGCTCCGGCTGCATGGTCACCAGCGAGCACATGGCAAGCTCTCGACTTACCTAGAGAGCTGTGCTAAGGAGGTGTGTCTAGGAGCCCTAGGATGTCCTCAGAGGGCCCGGCAGGGAGCTACGTGGAGTTTGGAGGATTTATGGATCTCAAAACACTAACTTTTCATAGTCATGGATGATTACTCTCTTATCTTAAGGTTAAAGCTGCATGTTTTTTCTCTCTTTAAAGTTGGAAAGCTTTAAGGCTCTGTTAATCCAAGCTGTCAAAAAAGCCCAAAAAGAAAATCCTCTGCCAGGACAAGGGAACGGCGTCCTGGTCTTGGAGCGGCCCCTCCTCATCGAGACCTACGTGGGACTGATGTCCTTCATCAACAACGAGGCCAAACTGGGTTATTCCATGACCAGAGGCAAAATAGGCTTTTAGCCGGCTGTATTCTGGGAGTTCTTCTCTGTCCCAAGAAAGCCAAGATGATGTGGAGACTGGGGCCTGCCAGTCCTCACGCAGCTCTGCTGCCCGCGGGCAGGACGGTGGGGGTGGGGTCCTTTACCTTTGGAGGTCCGAGTGCAGTTAGAATAGTAAAGAGAATTATTTGTGTTCAGTTGGATATCGGACATCCGCTAATACGAGCTACAGACAAAAGCAAATCTGTCATTGCACTGCTGGTGTCCCATCTTCTGTGACTTCAGTTCTGGCGTTTTCCCCAGTGTCTACGTGGCTTCTTGTGGTCCTGTCCATCCCCCCACCGCGGCTGCCCCGCTCCCGCTTCAACGTGTAGAGTGTCACACACGGGGGGGCACCTGGCGTCCCGAGTGCCTGCAGTTGCATATATGTTTACACTTGGTGTCAAATTTCGTATTTTGAAATTTAATCCAATTTTTAAAAAGCTAATAGAAAAGATGCCAGCAGACTGGTTAGCTAAGCAAGATACAGTCTGTGCCTTGTCAACTCCTGAACGAATAATTGTTCTTTTGTAAATGTGTTTGACCCAAGTCACACTTTTTCTAAAATTAATCCAAGTTGTGTTAATACTTATGGCATCTTTCCCAGGCCCAAAAAAGTTTACAGAAAATCATTTTAAGACAATTTATTGATTTGAGAAAGTCACCTTGGTTTTGCACGTAATCTTGACAAGCGTGTTCTGAGTTTGTATTGTTACATTCATACTTAAAAGGGAGTGGGTACTTTGCTTTTTAAAGAATGCACTTTAGAAAAAGGAACCGTATCAGATCCCTACAAAGCAGCTAACACCTGCGCTGGTTCCACAGCTCCCCTAGCTGCGAGGCTCTGGCAGCTCCTGGGGACGGTTTCCATGTGGGGACCCCACACACCTCCCTGAAACCACGTGCTGCTTGCTGTGTACTGGGAGCATTTGCTGATAAATCAGTTTCTTCCCTCATTTAAACTCTGTTGTAGCTTTAAGCCGACCGGCATGGTTGTGATCAGAATGCAGTAGCCTGCAAGACCCATCAAGCCCGCCTCTGGGACTTTGGCCTTTGTTTCTTGGTCTCTTTGTAAACACATTTAGAACCAATGGATGTTGTTCCTTTTTTGAAGTTACTGTTATTAAAGTAGGTGCAACAACCAAGAAGGTGCCTCTTAAATGAGTTTATTTTGCAGCTTGAGCTCGGCTCTGCATGAACAGTGATGGGGCTTCTGAGTTAACAGCCTGGTGCTTACTGGGCACAGCTCTTCCCTTTACAGAAAGACAACGCATGCACACAGCCTAGGTTTGCAGTCCTCATCTGTCTGCCTGTAGTGCGAGAGCCCGGCCTGCAGGGCACCTGCTGGAGAGACTGATGGGATTGTCCGGCGGGCCCAGGTGCCTCCTGCAGACAGCCAGGGTGGGCAGCCCCGGGCACTGGTTCTCAAGTCTGAGGGGTCACCAGACTGACTCCCTACGGAACCAGCTCAGGTCAGGGACCCGGCCTTGACCAACTGCTCGAACCTGCGGTTTCCGAGGGGAGCACTGCACTCCACAGTGAGTCCGACCACAGGGAGGCCACACGTGCCCCACGGAAATCCACGCCACTTTCCTAAGGCCCCAGGGACTGGAATGGGAGCCAGCGCAGAGCCAGGTCTGTCTAGAGGGAAGCCTGGCTGCAGGGGCTCAACTACTTTAAGGTTGTCCATCCTGCTTAAGACTGAACCAGAAATGTAAGAATGTAACCCAAGAAAAGCTTCCTGTGTTCTAAACCTTTCAAGAAAATAAGCATCAGCATTTGTATAAATTATCAAATATTTATTTTAAATAAAAATTAGTTTTATACATATTTACAAAAGTGGCTTGCCATAGCAAAACAGAACCCAGTCACCCAGTTTGCACCATCGCAGTCGGCCCCTCCAGGGAGTCTCCATCCCTGCCCACGCTGGCAGCATGCAGGTGGCTCTATCCCCCACACGGGCGTGTGCACAGCTCCTACGTGTGGCCGTCCCGCTGTCTGACGGCCAGGCCGACCCCCTCCTCGGTCTCCAGGAAACAGAGGCAGAAGTGATCCTTGCTGAGGAGGGCCAGCGAGTCCCCACTGCAGTGCCAGCACAGCGAAAGCACGGGAAAGTCTCCTAGAGGGACACAGGTGGCCAGCAGATTAGAGCAGGAGAGGCCAGGGTCCCAGGGCGAAGGCAGCCCTCGTCCTGCGTGTGGGCAGAGCCAGGCTAGAGCCTGACGCCACCCCAGCTTGGGGGGGGCTACTTCTGTCTCACGGGCTCCCCGTGTCCAGCATACCCCTGGGCTCCGGACTTGAGGTTACTGAAGGGCCGGGGGCGGGCCTCACTCAGCGCTGTGGAAGGCAGCTGGGTTTAGCCACTTGAGCTCACTCGCCAGCCGGCCTGATGCTGCGGGACCCGCTGCCAGGGCTCTGGGCGCACTCACCTTCCCCGGGCACCTGCACGGACACGCAGCCTGCCGGGGACCACAGGTAGACCTTGCTGCCCCCCGTGCAGATGGCCAGCCGGGGCTGCTGCGGGTCCCACTGGAAGGAGCGCACGGGGGACAGCTGCTCGAGCACCACAAACAGCCGCAGCTTCTGCATGTCCCAGACCCAGACGGCGTTGGGGACGTTGTCTGAGGGAGGGAGGAGGGCTGGAGTCATGGCCTGGCCCCCCGCCCCCTGCTGTGCGGATCCGCTCAGCGTGGGAGGTGAGGGGGGCGGCCCGGGTGCAGACGCCCCGTGGTGGCGCCCAAGTCTAGAGGACAGACTCGTGTTTCTCCTTGCTTTGTTTTCTTTTTACAACCCTTTACAAATGCAAAAATCATCCTTAAACACAGGCCACGGGCTGCAGTTTGCCCTGGACCCGGCTCCCCCTGAGAAGAGGGAGACGTGAGCAGACAGGTGAGGGCGCCTGAGCTGGCGTGTTCCTGTCACCGTGACAAAGGTGAGGCCCTGCTCCTCCAGGAGCTTCTGCGGGCAGAACCGTTGCTACCTCAGCAGTGAAGTGGGAAGAGGCACCGTGTGGGGAGCCCTCACTTGATCTCTTCCCGCTGTCCCTATGCTGCCACCGAGGACAGGGTGGCCGGACGGGCGGCACTGGGGGCACTGACCGTTGCGCGTCGCCAGGAAGTAGCTGTCGGGACTGAAGGCCAGCATCCCTACGCCGATTTTAGGGTTCGCCCTGTCAGCGAGGGGCTTCAGCGTCTGCAGGGAGGCGGGCACGGAGGCGATCTCATCTAGGGCCCAAAGGGAGAGCATGCTGTCGTCACCCTGGCAGAAAGCCGCGCGCGTCCGAGAGGCTTCCCTGCCCACAGCCGGAGGAGGAGCCTCAGTTCGGAGGGAAGGAAAATGCTACCTGTAGCCAATCGGGCGTAACGGGAGCCTGGCGGCCACGGTGAGAGGCCCACAAGCCCCCTGGGGAGGGCGGCGCTGTTGCCTGCAGGGCCCTGACCTGGGGTCCAGGTGGACGTGGCGGCCTCTGGAGCCCCAGCAGTGCCTGCACACGCTCCGGGACCACCCCGACCCAGTGGCAGTCCCAGCTGCTCACACGTCTCAGGATTTGCTTTTTTCTACCCACTTCTGGCATCTTAGTTTACAATCTGCTTTCAGTCTCAACTTCGATGTTCTACTTGCAGACTCTGCAGGTGCAGAGCACCCATTCATCACAAAGCAGAAGCAGAGGCTGCGCCGTGACAGCGAGGTGGGTGCGTGCGGGGCGCGGCCCTACCCGAGCGCCCTCGGGGACCAGGCAGCACTGCAGGGCCTCACTGCTAGCCCAGCGACTCCACTGCTAATCAAGCAGGAGGCTCTTCATGTCCCCAGTGGCCCTGCTGGGTGGGTGGTTCCACAGTGCCCATTTGAGAGATGAGGAAACTGAGGCACCGGCAGACTCAGCGCCAGGCCACGCTGCTCCCGCATCTGCCCTGGTGAGTGCCAGCCACCTGGCGCCCCTGTGTCTCACTGGGAAGCACCGCCCTCCGCTGACACTCCAGCTGTCACACTCAGGGCCCGCCAGCAAAGACCGTGCCTCGGTGGCCAGCCTGAGTGCTTTGGATTCCAAACAATCTCAGGGTCAACAGGTTGAGAGACACACTGGCTATGAGGTAGCACAGGAAAGGAAAAATGCATTTTTTAACGAATACAGGACATCTGAAATGTGCCCGGACACAGAGGCATCATTTGCACTTATAAAATAAGAACACAAGCACCTTCAGGGGCCACTTACATTTACTCTCCGAGGTGGCCCTGGGGGGCGGGAAGGGCAGGCGGCCCAGCCCCGGTTTCGGGCTCTTCTGGGCTTCCTTATACACGACCTGAAAGACACAGCGCGGCCGCCACTGCCCACTGCCCGCCTCACAATGGGGGAGGGGCCGAGGAGACAGGTGGCCAACGCCCGTGGGGGCGCGTGGTGAGCTGGCACGGGTGAGCTGGCGCGTGCCGTGAACACCGGGTCCCACCATCTCGGGGCAGACAGAGCATGAGCCCACCCCCTGGGAGGTGAGGCGCCCACCCGCCCCTCAGGTCCTACTGCAGTCTGCCCTTTAGAAAGCACAATGGCGAATGTGTGCAAGTGGGCATCTAGGGACGGGAGGCCACTGTGTGATGCAGCCAGTCGTTCATCAGAGCACACGCCAGCCTTTCATCGCAATCGGTGACAGAAAGCTTGCTGAGAGGCCAGGGCAGTGGGCAGGCCCGGGGGGCAGCAGACAGACCCGAGGAAGGACATCCTTGGCCGAGAGCCTGGCAAGCGAAGACCAGCGGCACGGGTGGGGGAAGGCGGGCGGCCCTGGCCGGGGCAGATCTGCGATTCTGAAGCCGGGCTCTGCAGGAAGGCAGGAGCGCAGACAGACTCCCCAGCCTGCCCGGTCAGCCCTGCACCCTGGCTTCCCTCCTCACCTGTGCAGCCGCCCAGGCCCTGGGCGCTCCAGAGCCACCACCCACCAGGGGAGTCCCCTCTGCCTGAAACCCCTTCTGGTCTTCACTTAGAACAGCCCTACAAGGCACGTCCCTGGCCGTCACTTCCCTTGCGCATACGGCCCCCAGCCCCTTGCTGTCCTCCTCACCACATCTAGCCTGGCTCTACCGGGTCTCTCATTAATGGGTTTGTCTTTGTTCCCGGCTGCCTCCCAGTGCAGTGCCTGGCAGGCAGGAGGCACTCACAGGGGGCACTTGCCAACGCCCCTTGAACAGAGGGATGTGCCCCAGGACCTTAGCACTTCCCACTCCCTTGGCCTGCCGCGCTCCCTGCCCAGGCCCCTGCCTCACCCATCCAGTCCCTGCTGGCTGGCGACCACCCCCTGCCACCCCATGGAGTCGCCCGGCTCTCCCAGCCCTAGCCCTGGCTGCCCTGCCCCCACCACAGGTCTGACTGCTCTTCTCTGGCTTGGCCAGAGCGCCGGGCCCCGCACAACAGCAGATGCCTGCAGCTTTGGGCAGGAGTCCCTGGTCTCTGCAGAGGTCAGGGGCCTGCATCTAGAAAGACCAGGAAGGACACATCCGGGCTGGGTTGGGGGAAGGGAAGAGCCCGGTAAGGGGCCCACTTCAGACCCCTTGGCCAACGTGGACAGGAAGGACGAAGGCCACTGGGAAAGTCGGGCCCTGGAAAGGTTACATTAGCAAATGTTTAGGGTGATGTAAGTCCCCAGTTAAAAGTACATCACGATAAATACTGCAAAGCGGAAAAGCAGCGCCCCGCCCCCACAACACTGCTCGGGCAGAGTCACGCGCTTCGCACTCACTATCTTGGGATTGCTGATGGCTGCGGGGTGCCCGAACTCCGTGATCATTTTCCAGGTCACGTGGTTGAGGATGCGCACCTGAGGGCCCAAGACTGCGAGGTGAGAACACCCCCAGGCACGGGCCACGCCGGTGGCTCTGCTCGGACCTCTGCACCACAGGCGCCCGACCAGTCACACCCTTTCGTCAGTGTAGCTGCCGACCCCAGCGCCAGGCACTGAGCTGGGGCTCCAGGCCACGCACTTGACGCCCAGGGACCACTCGTAGGCACAGAACGCTGACAGCAGACCGGCAAACACCCGATACAGGGAGTACACAGGACCGTTCGTACTACCCCACAAGCGGAGACCCGAAGCATCACCCAGCAAGATATGCCATCCGAGCTACGCCACTCCACGGACCGACACGACCACAACACACTCCCACGGCCCGCTGCAGAAGCGGCACGCGCGACAGCATGCGCAGACGAAACAGAAACCCAACCACACAAAGAAAACAAACTCCACGCTCCGTAGAGGAAGCATTCCGATAATAAATCCCATAGAATGTGAGCAGTCACAATCTAAGAAAACACCACTGACAATCACCGAAAGCAGCAAAAGGGACATAAACACCCGCAACCCATAGGGACTACACATCAGAAAATCTGAAATGACTTGATGAAATTCACCAATCGTCATGCATAAAGACAAAGTTCAACGCTCACCTGCTGCATTCAGAAGCATTCATACTCACACTTACGTAAAATCCTTACAAGCTGCACAGATCAACTGGCCCTCCAACCAACACCCCTCATACCTCGGCAGGCTGTCCAACGGTCCAAGCCAAAACAAGGCAATAACACGATCAACCTCGGAACACAAAGAGCCACAACATTCGCCACTATCCCTGCGAGATCCTGGGTGTCCGTGTCAAAGTGCTTCCAAAGACAGGAGGGAAAAACAGATTAAATATCCAAAATTTTCTTAATAAACTGCATTACGATTCTGACTAACATAGTCTTAACCACCAGCATCTACAGCATTATTCTATATAAAGAACACATCGGATGAAGTCTCCTACAACACCCTACTCTATCCTAGTAAACAGCTGCATACGAATCACCTGAACTTGGCTCGGCACAAGCAACCGTGCCACGCAAAGTCGGCACAACAACCAGCGGGGAGCGGGCCGGGCCCGGCGGTCTGTACGCCTGCACACAGGGGCACTGCCGCCTTCTTGCCTGGCAGGGCCGCTCCCTGCAGACCCGCTCAGACGGGTCCCTTCGGTTCCCTGGTCTGCGCTCGGCAGCCCGGCGGTTCCTCTGCCTAACACGGAGTCGTGCTGAAACCGTGCTCGGCGTCTGCTCTGTGTGCTGGCGGCACCTGGAAGCGTCTCCCCAGGCAGGCCCTCAGTCACGTGAACTTGAACTTCACCTCCCCGTGCAGCTCGCACACATGCAAATGCCATTCACACGCACAGGAACAGGACAAAGGCTCCCACCTGACAGCACATTAACTTCTAACACACCAGCACGCACCACTTCCACCAAGTCCTCGCACCCCCCCCGCGTGCCACCCGCAGGGACTCACAGCAACCCCACCCTTCGGCAATGCCAAGCGCACTGCTCTGTATGGCACCAACGGTCCCTGAGACCTTAAGGAACATCCACCGCACCCCACTCCCTCTCCCGTCAATGGGGTACCTGCAGTCCCATGGGGGGGGGTGGGGGACGCCTCACCCTCAGGAGCTGCCAGTCACTGCACACGAACACGCTCACGTAGTCTTTGCAGTCGCGCCGCTCCGCCAGCGCCATGTAGCGGCCGTCCCTGGTAAAGGTGATTCCTGCCCAGAGAGGAAAGCACGCGGGGATGGAGAGGCCGCTGAGCCGCAGCAGCCATGCTCTTCAGTAAGAATGAGCAGGCGGGCGCGGTGGCTCAGGCCTGTCTGTAATCCTAGCACTCTGGGAGGCGAGGCGGCGGATTGCTCGAGGTCAGGAGTTCGCCAGCCTGAGCAAGAGCGAGACCCGTCTCTATAATAGAAAAATTAATTGGCCAACTAATACATATAGAAAAATTAGCGGGCATGGTGGCGCATGCCTGTAGTCCCCCAGCTATTGGGAGGCTGAGGCAGCAGGATTGCTTGAGCCAGGAGTTTGAGTTGCTGTGAGCTAGGCTGACGCCAGGCGCACTCACTTAGCCTGGGCAACAAAGCGAGACTCTGTCTCAAAAAAAAAAAAAATGATGAGCAGCAGGCAGAGGGGAGAGGATGGAACAGCACCGACCATCCACGCCCACGTCTCTGCAGACAGACACGAACACTCACTGCAAAGAGCCGTGGTCTCGCCCCTCACAGCACAGCCAAGACAGGGACAGGCCCCTGCACACACCCACAACTGACGTGCAAGGAATGCCAGGTCACCTGACCCAGATGGATCACAACAACTACTGAAAACACGCAGTGCCTCGGATGACCAAATTTATAAACCGCAGGACGTCTGGGGACGCTTCCGGCCGGGCAAAGGCCAGCTGGCTACAACATTCTTCATTGTCATTTTTTGTTTGTTTTTTTTTTTTTTGAGACAGAGTCTCGCTTTCTTGCCAGGCTAGAGTGAGTGCCGTGGTGTCAGCCTAGCTCACAGCACTCAAACTCCTGGGCTCATGATCCTCCTGCCCAGCCTCCAAGTAGCTGGGCTACAAGGATGCACATGCCCGGCTGTTTTTATATTATATATATTAGTTGGCCAATTATTTCTTTCTATTTTTATGGTGAGAGACGGGGTTCGCTCAGGCTGTTTTGAACTCTGACTTGAGCAATCCGCCCGCTCGGCCTCACAGAGTGCTAGGATTACAGGCGTGAGCACCGCGCCCGGCTTCTGTCACTTTTGAGTTTAATTATTTGCAAGAAGTAAATTTAAGATGAAAATCTGAAAAATACTCAGGTTGAAAAAAAACTGTATTTTCCAGTTCTGTATTAGCTTTAAAAGTCCTAAGTCAAAATTCATACTTCCTGAGTAAAAAAAAAGCACAAAACCTTAAATAATATAACTATTATTTCCACTCAAGAAATATGTATCTCATCTTAGAAGAGACACTAAGATTCAAACTATGAAAATAAATGTACAGTTGCGTCTCACTCGAATGCAGTCTGCAAAGTGCTGACAGCAGCAGAGAAAAATGGAAACGTCACTCAGATGGTGAAACTTCCTTCTGCCCACGGAAGGGGACGCCTCACTGCAATTCGAGACCTGCCGGGCCGCACCGCGCCAGCCCGACGCCGTCCCGTTCAGTCTCGCTGGTGGTGGCCACAGCCCACCTTTCTTCCAGGTGGCTCGGAGGCTTCGACGGGGGACACTTGTCACTGATCCCTCCCCTGGGAGGCCCAGAGGTGACAGGTGTGCTCTCCCCATTACCAAGAGATCAGATTTAGCCAACAGAAGAGTGAGAGATGTGCAGTTCGGAACAGGAAGCTTGAGGTGCGTCCCTGCAGGCAGGGAGGGGTCAAGGGGCTCCCACAAACACCACTGTCTTTGATGTCTCAAACGGCATCCTCTTTAGTCACGGTGGTCATGTTTAAAGGGGGACTCTTGTCCCTTAGAGACACATATGGAAATATCTGCAGATGGAGTATTAGGAGGTCTAGGACACACTTTAAAATAACCCAAGGGGTGGGGGGTGGGTAGAGAGGAAAAAGACCGGCTAGGAGTTGAGTGTTGTTGAGCTACCTTTGCCTGTTCGAAATGTTCCATGACAAAACAGTCCAAAGAACTCCAAAATAGCTGCAAAGAAGTGGCTTTCGAGTCGAGCTGGCAGACTTACCCTGCTGACAAGCTTTAGGATATTTGATGTAAGATACAGATTTTGTGCACAAGGACCAGACGGTTATCCGCAACTGTTGGGGACAGGGGAAGAGAAAGGAAACAGAACATATTTAGCACCTTTAGAAGGAGCCTTGGATCCCAACCCCCATCGCTAGCGCCCAAGGACAAGACAGACTGCCGAAGTGAAGCCGTCAGGACTTAGCCGTCTTAATAAGCGTATTCAAACGCACGTTTTACTGTTACTAAAGTAAATTTAGGTTCTTGGTATTTTTTTCATTTTATGACAATATATTTGAGTGACACAAAGTTAGCTATAAGGGCATTTTACAGTTAGCTATTTCAAAGCAAGCACAAGTTGCACACTATAGTAAGCCTAAAAAGTTATTTAGTCAGAGAAAAATCTTGGTGTGGGGAAAGCACAACGTCCAGTCTCCTCCACGTGCGGGCGACCTGCTCTGTGGATCCCATTTGGCTCCTGGTGGCTTCACCGGACAGCGGAGCCGCGCCTGCCCCGCGTCGGGTGGGTGGGCGGACGGGCGGCTGCTCCCAGAGGAGGCTGCGTCTGGAACGACCGCCACTGACACCGCCTGCACCTCCCCCCTCGCCCCACGCAGGCAGCTGGGGCTGGCACAGGGAGGCTGGAGGAAGATCGTGTCCCAGCAAGGACTGACCCGGGCCTGGCGGGTGCAGAGACCCCGGGAGGGCAGCCTGACCCCGATCGTGCCGTCGAGCCTTTAGGGCTCACGCACAGCTCACCCACTCCCAGATTTCATGCTGAGACTCCCGTGGAGCCTACAAGGGAATACTCTCGTTGCTGAGAAGGTTCTCCGTCCCGGCCCCCGAGAGTCTGGTAGCTACTAACACACGGGCCCGACAGCTGCTCGGCTGGGGCAGACGCCGGCCGGCCACGCGAACCCACACCAGGACCGAGCTGCAGCGGGTGTGGCGGCACCAACCACCGGGTCCCCTTCAGGGCTCCTCTGAGAGGAGGGCGACAGGCCAAGTGCATGCTCCCGCGCAAGGGCGGGGCTGAGGGCGCAGCGCACATCGACACCGGCGTGACTCCTGAAAACGGCACCGAGTTTTTAATTCAAGGAGGGTGAAAGAAATGAAACCAACTTAATGTTCTGCATATCATCTCTTCTTACGAAAAAAAGAAAATCTGACGTCCGCAACCGCACTGCTGAGCAACGTGTGCGGCACCCGGGAGACAAGCTGAGGACACGCGTGTCCTGAGTGTGGAAAGCAGGCCCCAGAGGCCACTTTCCGTGATGCGCAACTCAAACACACCTGCTGTCCTAGGGAACTGGGCCGCAGGCCAACGGGGTGCCCTGTCCTCTAAGCCTCCATCACTGGCTGGGCATGGCGGCTCACGCCTGTGATCCTAGCACTCTGGGAGGCTGAGGCGGGTGGATTGCTCAAGGTCAGGAGTTCAAGACCAACCTGAGCAAGAATGAGGCCCCGTCTCTGCTAAAAACAGAAAAATTAGCCGGGCATGGTGGCACGTGCCTGTAGTCTCAGCTACTCGGGAGGCTGAGGCAGGAGGATGGCTTGAGCTCAGGAGCGTGAGGTTGCTGTGCGCTACGATGACACCACTGCACTCTAACCTGGGTGGCAGAGCAAGACCTTGTCTCAACAACAACAACAAAATCCAGAAAGATAAAAAGGTAGTTAAACATACGCCTCCGTCAGCTCTATTAACTTGCGCTGACCCCTGGAGGACCACGTCCCGCGCCCAGACCGCCAGCCGCCCACACAGACGACAGCCCAGCCCGGGCGCGTGGGAAGGGTTCAGTGTTTCTCAGCAACAGGAGGAAGGGACCACTGACGTCACCACTCGGGTTGTGCTTCAAAAACAGCGTGGGGCCCAGGGAAAGAAGCCAAACACAAAACTCTACACGCCACCGGCTCCCACTGAGATGGAATTCCAAAAAGGCAGGACTACGGTGACAAAAAGCAGGCAGGGCACGAGGAGCCCTCGCAGTGGGGCATAACATTCCAGATCTTGACTGGGGTGGTGATTATGCACAAATGACTCACTGAACTGTACACTTAAAACAGGTGGATTTTATTGCTTATAAATTGTTTTAATCAGCTTTATTCACATATAAGAAAAAGTTTTCAGCCTAGATTTCTTTTTTTTTTTGAGACAGAGTCTCAAAGTCTCGCTCTGTCACCCAGGCTACAGTGTAGTGGCATCATCATAGCTCACATCAACCTCAAACTCCTGGGCTCAAGGGATCCTCCTGCCTCAGCCTCCTGAGTAGCTGGGACTAGTGGCATATGCCACAATGACTGGGTAATTTTTTTTTAAGAGACTGGGCCTTGCTATGTTGCCCAGGCTGGTCTCAAATTCCTGGACTCAAGCAATCCTTATGCCTTGACCTCCCAAAGTGTTGGGACTGTAGGTGTGAGCCACTGTGCCCAGCCTGGTTTTAAACCAACTATAGGCTATTTGTAATATACACACTAAAATTTGAGGATATAGAAAGGTTGAAAGTAAAAGGATAGAAAAAGATATACCATGAAAAAACCAACCATGAAGTACCGCTTTATTAATATCTGATACAACAGACTTTAAGGTACAAAGAACTATAAGACTTAAAGAGGAATAATTACAAGAAAGGTTTAATTCACCAGGAAAACAGTGAAGTCTGCTTAGAAACAACTCTAAATTTGTATGCAGCTAACAACATAGCCTTGGAAGCACACTAAAAAACCGAAGCACATCACTGAAGAGACGCATGCACTTCTCTACATCTTAAAAACACAGCGCCGACACCAAAGACCCTGCACTCAATCTCGTGATTTGAGCTGTGCTCACACTGCCCAAACTGCCTCTGAGGAGCCGTCGGGTCTCACGCGTGCAGCTCTGTGCCGTGCCCTGGCACGGAGAGCGCGCAGCGCCTGCAGAGCACCGCCGCGGCTGACTCACCCCGCGGACCGCCTCTCCAAGCACAGGCGCGGCGAGTTCACTCTGAAGCTCATCTCCTGTCGCTGAATTAAAGTGACTGCTTAAATCATTAATAATGTAAGTTAAGATTTCTAAAATGTCTTATTTTTCTTTAAAACTGGACAGAAAGACTATACCACAATACTGCTGTTACAATGCTTCTGTGCTCCGTGTCCAGCTGCTGTCTCTAGGTCCCGACTTGACCTTGGTAAAGGCCCAAAGGCAGCAAGAGTGACACAGGCACTTCGGATACGCCAAAGAGAAGCCACAAAGTGCTTCCTTGACGTGAAAAGGTAAAAGTTCTCCATTTAATAAGAAAAAAGAATCGTAGCCTGCAATTGCTAACACCTACAGCAAGAACAAATCTTCTATCTATGAAATTGTGAATGGTTATATTTTATTTTATTAATGCTATTATTATATTAATATAATTATACTGTTTAGTACATCAATTCTATTAATGATTATTGTATTAATAGTTGTTTATTAATTATATTTTATATTTTATTATATTTAATGTTATATTTTATTAGTTATTGTTATTAACTTCTTACTGTGTCTAATTTATAAATTAAACTTTATAACATGGATGCATATCTAGGAAAAAACAGTGTGTACATGGCTGCAGGCATCCACTGTGGGGAGGGTCTTAAAATTTAACCCCGGAGGACAAGGGGGACGGCTATCCTGCAGAACACCCCTTTAACACTCTCGAGCTATTCCAAGACAGCAGAGAGGCTCGAGTTTGGTCAATGACATGCGCATTCAGGGCTTGCACTTACGTGGAACTCGGTCGTGTTGAGAATGTGGCGCCCGTCCGGGCTCCAGCACGACGCCACCAGCCCTGCCGAGCCCTCGTCTATCTTGCAGTGCCATTCCGGCTGCTCCAAAGACCAGACCTAGATCATAAGAGAGACATGCACGGCTGTGCATGAATGAGCACGCTCTGGCGGGTCTTCTCCAAGAGAAAGCACTCACTTAACACCAACTGCACAGGGCAAAACGGGTTATCTTTAAAAATCTTTCTTTATGAAGGACTGGCACTAGATTCCACCATAAAAGCAAGCCACCCCTCTTGGTGATTTCATCTTGTTGTAGTTTTAAAACAGTTTATTCATGTTGCCAATCCTAAGACCTCATTTAGTTAAGCTTTGGGTGTACAAAAAAATTTCCTTTAGGACTTCCTAAAACACACAATATCCAAGCACCTAGATTGCTGTTTGTAAATACCTCCTATATCTGAATTATATTTGCTTAGAGACTAAGAATGTTTTGTTTCCTCATTTTAAAAGTACCTGGATTAAACTACCAGAGAACATAATAATTTTAAAAGAAAACTGGCTGTGAGCTGCACTGTCTTTTCCCCAAACTAGCAGGGTACAGAACAACACCACTCCTTCCCGGTGAGGCTCATGGGAGGGTTTCCTAATTCGAACCCCAACACAGCACATACCTGCACGAGCCCCCGTTTGTACATGGCACACAGGATAAAGAGAGAGTCTGCCGACCACTCCACGTGCTGGATCTGGTCCAGGCATGTGTACAGCTGAAGGATCTGAAGGGAGTTCGCATCACGGACCACGAGCCGGTACTGAACACAGGAAGCCTAGAACATGGGAAAGAAAGCACAGGACGTCTGCTCTGAAGGCGGCCGGGGCTCCCTGCCTTCGGTGCCGCTGTCTCCTCTCCCGTGTGCATGTTTCACTCTAGATCACCGATCCCAGAGCCAGCCCCAGACTAAGGTGAGTTAACAAAAGAGCAAGTGGAGAGGCACAGCCAGGCCGCAAAATGGTTATACTCTAATATAAAGTATGAAGAGTATTGAAAACTCTCTACTTAAAGCATTTTCTATTCCTTCCTTAACTGGATGTTAAAAGCTAAAGTGGGAAAAAACTCTCCTGTGAACTAATAACTGATCCCTGCCCTACTGTATCGCTTTTAGACAATTTCCCAGAATTTAGAAAGGAGAAGGCGGCCTCACAGTTGCCGGTGAGCATGACACGAAAACCACACTCTCTGATAGAGTGCCTGACTCACAGCCAAAGGAACAGGTCAACACACAGGCTTTAAATTCTGCAAATAGAAAGATGCTTCATAAATACTCACTTATCTCCATTAACTTATTCCTAATGCTAAAAATGAAAATGTTCAACTGTTGACACTATTATTTTAAAGATACAGTTTCTTCATGTCTTTTGTTAATGATGTCCACATCTAAGCAAACACTTTGAATTCAGATAATGTCCAACTATTCACCTGCTGATTGTACATTATGCTGCCATTTAAAAATCAAGAATTTTTAAAAGTGAATTGCTTTATTATTTTATGTATCAAGGTCAAACTAGGTGACTAGTTTTTGTTTTATAAAGGTCACATTAGTTTACCATGGGAAAAAGAGAGGGAGGGTGACTGTAGATTGGAACAAATATCCATCACACTTATTTTTTTTCACATGAAGCTCTGAAAACAGTGATCAGTTACAATAAATTCCTTACAAAATGCAATATTTTTACCAATGCTTGGAAAAACCATACACAGTCTCCTACAAGATATTAAAACTGGAAACACAGACCTGCTCTACCCAGTATGCAAGGCAGTGCTTTCATGAACACCACTCCAGTAACACATTATTATCAAATGTTTCACAATATTTTGACCAGAGTGTACAAACCAAAAAAGCACCAAAATTAGGCAAGCAAATCTCTCTCTTTATAATTCACTGAAATTACCATAAATGATAAAAACAAAACCCTAATATATGGGGGGGGGGCGCTTTGAAAAATACACCAAAGTTTTTGAAGATGCCATTTGTGCTAAAGACATTTTCTATTTGTAGCTGAATGCTGCTTTGTGGGATTGGGAATAACACCTCCACAAGGAAAGTTTTAACATGTAACTTTAGAGTTATATTCTCGAAGGCCTAGAGGAAGATAACAGGAATGTTAACAAGGGCTCAAACAAAAACAAGATTGGTGGATAAATAAAAGGATACACTTTTAAAAAGGCATGAATCTTCCCCTATTGGCTCTCAAATGCCAATTATCCTCACCCTCCCACCCCTTCTGAGGATGTACACTGGTTATAAGGTGTATTTTGAAACTTAAAGTGATAGCTCAGTGATCTATGCACTATTTTGCCCCCCAAGGAATGAAGAGCTCAAATCCCTACCTTGAGGACAACCCTTTCTGTACCTGGGGATGGAATGCTAATTACTTAAATCATGCGCTCCGCAGGCAGTAGAGAGACCTGAGGAGAGCTAGCAAAGATGACAAAGTACCCCATACCACTTTACCACCGACAGAATGGCAAGTCTGCCTTTTGGACAAAAGAACAACGAGCTGACAGCCCCTGTACCCTCAAATGTACACAGGAATTGCTTCCCATCCCTGCCTTTGACAGGTGGACACCGTGGACAGGGAGGCCACACCTGCCCAGGTTCCGCACCTGTGTGGGGGATCTGCCTGCGCCCCGCCCTGCCTGACTCCAGCACCTGCTCCAATCCCGCACCTGCGGGGGTCCCGCACCTGCCCTGTGGGGGAATCTGCCTGCGCTCCACCCCTTCGTGACTCCCGCAACTGTTCGAATCCGCACCTGCGGGGATCCCGAACCTGCTGGAACCCCGCTCCTACCTGGGTCCCGCACCTGTGTGGGGGATCTACCTGCGCTCCGCCCCTGCGTGACTCCCGCACCTGTTCGAATCCGCACCTGCTCGAATCGCGTACCTGCCAGGGTCCCGCACCTGTGTGGGGGATCTACCTGCGCTCCGCCCCTGCGTGCCTCCCGCACCTGTTCGAATCCCCGCCTGCTCGAATCGCGTACCTGCCAGGGTCCCGCACCTGTGTGTGGGATCTACCTGCGCTCCGCCCCTGCGTGCCTCCCGCACCTGTTCGAATCCGCACCTGCTCGAACCGCGCAGATCCCCACACACACACACACGCTGCTCGCACTGCTCGAACCGCGCACTGCCAGATCCCCCACACACACACACACGCTGCTCACCTGCTCGAACCGCGACCTGCCAGATCCCCCCACACACACACACACACGCTGCTCGCACCGCCGGGCGACGCGGCCGCCCACTCCCCGCGATCCGGTCCGCCGCCCCATCGCGCGCCCGCCTCCGGCCCCGCCGCCGCTCACCAGGTACTTGCGTGGGGAGAACTTAGAGGGCGAGAGAGCTTGAACACCTCGGAGAAGTTCATGGCCGCCCCGGCCCCGAAAAGCCGCGGAACAGCTCTGCACTGCAGCAGCCAGCAACCGCCGCCGCCGGCCCCGCGGCCGGAAGTCAGCGGAAGCGGAAGCGAGCCGCAGCCTATCAAGCCGCGGGAGGTCGCGCGCATTGTGGGGCTTGTAGTCTCCCGCCCGCGCCGCGCGCTTTAAAAGAGACGCACTTTCTTACCGACGCGATTTCAGGACCGTCCCCAAGGACGAAGGGCATCGGGTCCTTACAGTTAGGGTGCAATAAAATACACACGCACAGTTAAATTTGAATTTCGGATAAGCACAAATCGTTTTTCCAGTGTAATATGTTCCAATATTGTATGGGACGCATTGAATGGGGAACAATACTCCCTTATCTGAAATTCGAATTTAGCTGGGACTGTGGTGTGTACGTACACAGGTATATATGCACATGTATTAATGCTATGGTGAATTATACTCGTACATATATAATGCATATTATATATAGTATAGTGTCTATTACGTATGTTACACTGTACACATAATGTATAAAGAATATTTTTTGTTTGTTGTTTTTGCAAGTCCGCAGCCCTGCCGCCGGCCCGACCCCTACGTCTTGCTCCAGCGCCACTTAGATCAGGAGAGAACGAATTAGACCCTGACCGGGCAGCGTTAGCGCGGGAGGCGCGCACTCGCCTGTCATTCCAAGCGCGCACCGGGGCCTGCGCCCGCGCAAGGCCGGCCGGCAGGGACCGGAGGCCCAGCTCTGCACGGGTGGGAGCGAGCCCCTGAGCGGGCCGCTCCGCTCCGCAGCCCTCGCTCGCTCTCCAGGCGTGCTTGTTCCTGTCGCCCCTGTTCCCCGATGGCGCCTCCTGAACGCCCTCGCCCACGCCGGCCTTAGCCGCCCCCGCCAGGCTCCGCCAGCGCCTCCACAGCCCAAGGACCTAGCAGACCGGCACCCCCGCCCACTGCGTCCTGGAGCGAGACCCGGCTGCGGGTTGCTGCTCCACCTCCAGTGCAGCCCCGGCCGGACCTGTTCCCACGGAGTCCACCTACCCAAACGGATGGGGGTGCGTGCAGGCATCCTGCTCGGGCGGAGCGGGGCTGTTTCTGTCCCCAGTTAGACCCAAATCCTGCGTGAGATTCGTTTAGTGTCCCCACTCCCGCGCCTAGCAACAGTAGGTGAGCATAAAGACATACATAGTCTGCCAGGCGTGCCAGGCAGGTGCAGACCTCGTTGGTCAGAACCTGGGCTGCACTCGCTCTGCTCGCTCCGATGCCACGCACACTGACGCCATCTTCCAAGGTTGTGGTGATCTACCAGGCAGGGGCATCGGTTTGGAGCCAGATTACACGGGTCCCACAAGATCAGGCGGTAGCGCACAGGTAGGTGCCCGCAGCCCAGAGGCTGCTGCAGCAACTCGCCTCGCGTTCGGGATGAGGGCCCCCGAGGCCCGGTGCCATGCGGAGGAGAGGAGGAGCGGGGCTGCAGGTGCACGGCGCCGTGAGAGATTCCTGCGCTAAACAGCAATTCCCAAGCGCTGGACACCGCGGCACCTTCGGCTAACACCGAACGGGGAATCCTACGGCGGAGGAGAGCGGGGCGCGGGCGCAGGGCCGGAGTGGTCGAGCTGCCGAGTTACTCCCTGGAAGGCCCCAGGCACAACCTCACGGCTGGGGTCGAAACGAGTAGGCACCCGGAGGGTCTCCGCAGGATCCTCTCCTGCCGGCGGGGCCAGGCGTTCGGCCGCGGGCGGACCGTGGGTGGCAAAGCCTTGCTGGGCCGGCACCGCTGGTCTCTTCTCCTGGCCCTGAGAGGCCGCATCTCTCACCCATTTCCCGCCGGCCACCAGCTGGGGCGCAAAGGCGCGCACTCCCAGCTGCGCCTTGGGATCACAAGCGAGCGACCCTTTCAGCTGGAGAGCTCCCGCCAGTGGGGGTAGCCGGGACCGGGTGTTTCGGATGACCGCTGAGAGAGAAGAGCATGTATAATCCTGTGTAAGTGCTGTCGGGGATGTCCACAGATGTTGTGTTGTGTGT